CTCAGAAAAAGCAGCTTTTCCCTAGTTTCAAGTTTATACCCATTAATGTAAATGCAAGAAGGAAAGAAACAATTGAAAATGAGAGCAAACAGAAGCCTTCCACATGGGGAGGTAGCAAGAAACCATTTTTGCACCTGTGTATTAGTGCATGAGAACCAGAAAGTAATACAAACTGCCATTTAAAATTTGCAATTTACCTAAGCTAAATAGACATATTTACTTGCATATCTGCAATAATGCTTTATATACTGCCCTATATTTACTGTAGATAATATCCTTAATGCTGCAAATCCCACAGGCATAGGCGCCGACTCCAGGGGTGCTCCAGGGCTAGAGCACTCACAAAAAAAAATTAGCAGGTGCTTAGCACCCACTGGCAGCCAGCTACCCCCTTCCCCACAGTGCCTCCCATCTGCTGGCAACCCTGCAGATCAACTCCCCCTCTCCCTCCCAGCACCTACCACCTGCCACAATCAACTGTTTTGCGGCGTGTAGGAGAGGAGATGGGGTGCACTCAGGGGAGGGGGCAGGAAGAGGCAGGGAAGAGATGGGGCAGGAAGAGGTGAGGCGGGGGTGGGGACTTGGGGGAAGGGGTGGGGTGGAAGCGGGGCTTGGGGCAGAGCTGGGGCGGGAAGAGGTGGGACAGTGTGGGAACTTGGGGGAAGGTGTTGGGTGGGGGCGGGGCTTGTGGTGAGCATCCCCCAGGCCCAGAGGAAGCCAGAGCCTATGCCCACAGGGTCCTAGAGCCCAGGCTCCAGCCCAAGCCCAGAAGTCTACACAGCAATGAAACAGCTCTGTACCTGGGGTTAGAGTTTGGGTTCATCTCTTTTTATAGTTTAGAGCTGGACAAAAAGTAGAATTTCCACCCCATAGGAAAAGATGAGATTTTTAAATTTGGTTTTGTCCCAGATTGGGACAAAATGTCAATCTCAGGATTTTTCACAAAATGAAAGATTCCAAAGTATTTTTTCACCTTATCAAAACATTTTGTTCAAATTTATTGTTTCAATTTCAATATAATGTGATACAATAATATACAAATTGGCATGTTAAAGTCAAAACAAAACAAAATATTTTGATAATTTCCCATAAAAATATTGACAAAATCAATATGTTCCCAAGAAGCGTTTTGATTTTATCAAATCAATATTTTCTAATAGAAAAATGTTTTGACCAGCTCTACTGTATATCCATGTAACCACATTTTACACAGGATTTTGAGTCCTGTGCTTCTCTAGACACTCTGGAAAAGAGCTCTCACATGCTAGGATGGATGTCCCACTTTCCCTCCCAGAAGAAATCTTTATTGGGTGACTCCCTTCTCAGATACTGGGTCTTAACATTCATTTGACAAATATATTATTATGATAAAAAGTCCATCCTGGCCATAAAATTTGCCTGTTCAGTGCTTATATACTGGAGTGATGAGTGTTATAGAACAAAGATAGATACACAGGTGACTACTGGTGCTCATCATTTATATACTGCTGGACACATATGTAGCGTTTAAAAACTAACAGAACAAACAGCCCTTTGCAGGCTCTTTTCTAAGAGGTCCTGTTACTGCATATTAGGTTTCCCTGGGTCATATCACTGTCAGGATGTTAAATACCACAACATCAAATAGCAAAAAGCTGAAGTGTCCAGGGAAGCAAAGCATTTCTAAATCAGATACATGACAGTTTATGGTCTTCTTAATGTAAATTCATGGCAGAGTGTTGAAAATTGAAACTCTAATAAAAGTAGGTCATTAGGTTGCAAATAATATCAACCATTGAATACATTCATGGTTATCTCATTCAAAGCAAAATAGAATGCTTGCTGAACACAAGGTCACTGTATGAAGAGCTCACACTGACCTAAAATCAGTTAGCAAAACTTTTTTAAAAAGGAAAATGTGATTTTGATTTTACAGCTCTTTAAATAATGCATTTATTTTACAGTGCTGGGCTCAGATACAAAGTCATGCTGCTGAAGTTGGAATAACATGTAGCAGAATTGTTGGATTTCTCAATGTCTTGTGGTAGGCTTTTTCTTTGATTTATAGGACTGCAAGCTGCTTTTCAGACTCTTACTAAGTGTCCTTCTAGAAAAGTTTTAACAGAATATATAGCAACGTTTAGCTTTATTTTTTGTAAATGAATATCCCAAAGCAAACTCATAGATTAAGGCTAGATTGAGCCTTTATGGAAGCCACAGATATACCTCTCCAGGCGGGTGCTCCTTACTATATTAGAGCAGGTCAGTGAAATTGAAACGTTGCACAAAAATTCCCATTGGTATCAAAACAAAAAAGTTGGTATAATTTTTTGAAAGTTTTTATTTTCCTTTTTGTGGGAAAAATTCCACTTTTTCTCACTTTTTAATTTTTTCTTCCTTTTTCTAACTCATAAAAGGGAAACATGGTTTTTCCCCCACCACCAAAACAAATTTTATTATCAAATAAACACTTGAATAGGAATTTAGTGAGGAAATTGATCCTACTGCCTCTACTCTCGTGCAAAGTGCTATGGTGGGTCTTTGCTGACCATAAGTAGTTTTGTCTCAGTTTCAAGTCTCATCAAAAATATCAGTATAGTAGCCAGTACCACCATGCTGGGGCATTCATTCTGTTCTGTACTAGGAAGAGGGCCAGCCACTACCTCCCCTTCCTGCACTAACTTGTTGTCTTTCAGGGGATGGTATGCCAGAATTGTCTGTTTGAGAGAAGCTATTAGAAAGAAGGTGTGCCAGTGTTTGCAAATTTCAGATACTCATGCACATCACCAGCTTTTAGCTAGAGAGGGGCTTGAACCAAAACTCCAAGTGCAAACACCCTGAGAAAATTCTGACTCAGATTTTACAATTAGGGTTCATCTCTGGTTTCCACTCCACCTCCAAATGGAATGTGTCACTCACTTTAGACCAAATATCTACCCCACACCCAGTGTTCTCTCACCCTATATTCCTGTGAAACCTTGAAGATAAATTGACAGGAAACTTTAGGCAAGATCAAAAAGAAAAGATCCCCCACATTATTGCAAACACCTCAGAGGAGTTCTCAGTAACTAGCAGGATCAAGTCCCACTTTGGTGTCCTGTGCTTCACTTGAGGCCTTTGCAATGCATTCAGAAGACAAGCTTTACATATTTTACGTCTTAGGGTGAAAAGTGTGATGGCAGCATGCATTGACTCTGGAAATTCTAACCAATAAGTCTTGTATAAGGCAGAATAATCATTGTTGCTAAAATTTGTAAGGTGTAAATATCTGTTAAAAGCCGGGGTGCTAGATGACAATCGGCATGTAATAAAATAGGCCACAAAGGATAATGATCTAAGCATCTGAATTTTTAACATTGCTGTTAGGCGTGAGATTTTTATCCACAGGTCAGACAGAGAAAATATTGCCCCAGTGTTTTCAGTGAGCTGCATATAGTATACGACATCTTGGAACAAAACATAGATTGTGTAGCACATGATAAAATCACGACCCAAGTGCAGTGTTCAACTTTTGTTATCTTTCTGTGGTTACTTGAGAACCAAACATCTGTTCTCTCTATGAATCATAGCATTTGCATTGACATGGACTGATGACTGACTGACTGACTGAGTTATTTGTTTATATAATTTTTGGGGCTCCATTTCTACCTTGTAAATGATATTTGGTCTTCCAGAGTGACCTGGGACTTAATGCCTATACAAATTCTGCTCTCACACTAATGTATGGAACTTCTATGGAAATCAATGGAAGATGCACACATCTAACTGAGGGCAGAATGTGACCCATTATGGACCCCGATAATCTGCCCTCCTTATATTGAGTAGGAGTACCTATACTGCATGAGTAGGCCTATTGAGTTCAATGGGCCTCTCAGCGTGTAAGGTACCACGCAATGTGAGCGGGGTGGCAGAATGAGGGCCATAATGCACAAACAATTGACTTTTTAAAACGTTGGATAAATAAAAGGCATTTTTGGCTCAGTTCTTTCCCATGCCTGAGCTGTGCCCAGCACAGAAGAGTTGGGGGCCCGAGGGAGCCAGTTGCAGCTCTCTGATTTGGCGCCGTCTGACCTGGCATTAGTTAGCGTGGTGGAAGGGACTTTACACCAGTGAAGCATATGTATGGCAGTGCTCTGCTCCACCATGATCCCCCACTTTGGCATTCCACCTGCCTCCCTGACGCCTTTCCTGTGCTGGCTGTGCTAGCTTTACACCAGTGGGGAAATCGAACTCTACCATGGAAAGTCTTCACAAGGAACCAAGCACTTAGCATCACTCGGGCAGTGCAAAATGGCTGGAGCAGAAAGGGGAATTTGTCTTACTGTCAGTAGCTCCGGCACTGCACCAGCTTTTGCATATGGTGTAAGCATATCCTGTCTACTCTATATAGACCTAGCTTTTAATCTGAATATTTTTAGGGACACATTCTGTCTTGTCCTACGTGGATGCTCTCTAGCATAGCCATTCAGAAGCTGGGCAGACTGTTGCTACTCATTCTCTGAGCACAGACGCAGCAGAGCTAGTGTGCAACTTCCTCCCAGGCAGTTATACAGGGCCCCACATCCTCCAAGAGAGAGCACGGGCTGCAGCTCTCTGCCGCCAGTGTGGGGGTCACTGCTCAACGTGCTTCTCTTTGTGGTCTTTCACCTGGATCCACCCAACACACTGAGAGCCCTGCTGCTTGGGCACTGCACATCACAAGGCACCATCGACAGAGCTTAGGCCTCTTTCCCCCTGCCCCCTCCCCCTTCCCCACTGAGGATGCCGTAGTACTTTAGCTGTTGTGCATTTGGCCATGTTTGTATGGAACTTCCTTGACAATACCAGACTACCACCTCAGCTGACCTGTTTGTGCCTTTTGGGACTCAAACCCTACAAAGATATGGGACGTTCCAAATCTTGCTATCAGAATCAGAGTTGCCAGACACATGTGACAGTGGTACATTTAAAGTTCAACTGTTTTCTCCCACTTCTGGCACCTGGTACTATAGCTGCTTACCTGGTATTCATTTTTCTTCTAGTGCCAACAATATGCCTAAGCAGGTAGAAGTGCGGATGCATGAAAGCCAACTGAGCCCTGTGGAGCCAAGGCCCAAGAATGTATGCCTGCGGTTCTGCCAATCACTCAGAAAAAACCTGCTCTTGTCTCTTACTGTATTTGGTAAGATATACTCTGCTTGTATGCATCCTATGGTTCTTTGTGTACAGACTGTACTTGTGTTCAGCAATGCCTGCAAGTTTGCCAATCTCAGCTGGGCAGCCAAGGAATGAATGGGCAATGGAGACTGAATTTACCCTTTCCCCCAGTAAGCATGGTTCTGTTAGTTCAGGGAAAAGGCACATGGATGGAGTAGCATGGAGGAATCCTGAAGAGCTAATGTCCATGCTGCATGTGTTTTGTGGCTGTAATAGGACTTAAGTGATGTCTTTCACCATCACTAAAAAGAGAAAATCTCTATTTTCTTTTCAATCTCTTTGAAAATATAAAAACAAACCCTTTACCTGATCTTTTACACTTTCCTCCACTCAGCCTGGCTGAGACTCAAGCTTTATCTCCTATGTGTCTCTTGACACAGACATTGGGTTCAGTGACCTAGTTTGAAATAGTGCTTTCTGGTTTTAGAACCCTCCAAATATGGATCAGTTTGACATCTTTTTGTGGGTTATTGGCCCCATGACCACTACTTTTTTTCAAATGCAGTGAATTCACAGACCCAGTCCATTTTGCTTGAATGACCAACTGCAGCTTTAGTTCAAAAGTAGTGCAACTTTCAACCTTCCCATAGCTGAAATTGTATAGACAAGAAGTTTGGGCTTGGACCAGTACCTCCAAGATGCCTGATTCACTCTCCAAGAGGATCACAATGATAAAATAAGTTTATTTCTCATTGAACCAACCTGATATCACCATAGAACCATAAGTTATTCCAACAATAGTTTCAAAGCACAATTCAGATTGTCTTGTGGTGTCTTATTACAATAGAAATTGTACACAGGGCCTGAGATCAGAAAGACAGAGACAGCTGAGATAAAAACATGCAGTAACAGTGCAAAGGGAAATTCAAGTATTTTAAAGATGTAAACACTGTATTTAAATTGTAAGCTATTTGGGGCAGGGACTGTTTTGTTCTGTTTACATAGCACCTAGAACAATGGGGTGCTGGTCCCTGACTAGGGCTCCAAGATAGTATTGCAATACAAATAAATAATAGTAAAAACTAATCAAAGGAATTGTTTAGGATGATCTAAGATAGTGAGACTAAGAACAATGGGAGAAATTCAGCAATCAAAGGTTTAGGCTGTATATTGAAAAAAGTTATCTAACAGTGACATGTGCAGGTTTACGGAATAGTTTCTGAAGGGGAATAGTGGCAGCCCCATTGCCTTAGTAATTTCAGATTGGAATAGATGCACTGTTTGTATTGCAATCCTGATAGGGGGTAATCTGTTAGGTCTTTTCTGCTCTGTTGTGTGTCTGTGAACTGGATACTAATAGCAATCCATTCAGAGAACTCAACGTTAATATTAAATATATTGGTAACAAAATGTAGAATGTATATTCATCACAAAGTCTTGCTAGTTTTCCCATCAGATCCCTCGCTGAGCTGTGATATTGTTTGCCAATTCTTCTGTAAGAAGAGAGCTCAAAGCAAAATGTATGCTTGGTAAGACAAAGTAATACCACTGGAGTTTTGAAATGGCGCTGTTCTAGTGGTGAAAGCAGAGGAGTGGTATTCAGGACTGATGGGTTCTATTTCTGGCTCTTCTACTGACTGTATTTGGCTTTGACTGCTGGTATAGTCTTGAATAATTCACTTCACCTCTCTGTGCCTCAGTTCAGCCACCTGCACAGTGATTATACTAACTAGACTTACCTTCCTCTCAGGGCATTGTGGCTTAATTAATATTTGCAAATTACTGTGGGATTGTCAGATGAAAGATAACACTGGACAGAATGTAGTAGGATCATTCTGAAACCATTTTTCTTCAAGATTGTTCTTCTGTATGTTGAATAAAGATTCAAGTTTCCACTGTACTCCATGCTGATAAGGCCTCAACTGGAGTATTGTGTCCAGTTCTGGGCACCGTGTTTCAGGAAAGATGTGGACAAATTGGAGAAAGTCTAGAGGAGAGCAACAAAAATGATAAAGTCTAGAAAACCTGACCTATGAGGAAAGATTGAAAAAAAAAAAAAGGATTTGTTTAGTCTGGAAAAGAGAAGACTGAGGGGCAACATGGTAACAATTTTCAAGTACATAAAAGATTGTTACAAGGAGGAGGGTGAAAAATTATTCTAGTTAAACTCTGAGAATAAGACAAGAAGCAATGGGCTTAAATTTCATCAAGGGAGGTTTAGGTTGAACATTAGGAAAAACTTCCTGTCAGGTTAGGTAAGCACTGGAACAAATTGCTTCAGGAGATTCTGGAATCTGTGTCACTGGAGGTTTTTAAGAACAGTTAGATGTACACCTGTCACGAATGGCCTCCTTATTACGTAGTCCTTCCTTGAGTGCAGGGGACTGGACTAGACCTCCTGAGGTCCCTTCCAGTGCTACACTTCTATGACTCTGATTCCTTTCTCCACCCTTCCTTTTTAATTCTCCTTTCAGGTGTCATAATGGGTGCTTTGTGTGGGGGTCTTCTTCGTCTGGCAACTCCTATTGATCCTGACATCATCATGTTAATAGCCTTCCCAGGAGATATCCTTATGAGGATGTTAAAAATGTTGATCCTACCTTTAATTATATCCAGTTTAATCACAGGTGAGATCTATTAGCAATAAATACTTTAAAATGCTAGCTAAAGACATTACATAGTTCATCTTTAGTGAGAAGGGAAGAATAATTATGTGATGCAGTGAGTCTTTTGCAATTAATAATAGCTGATTCATATTTCATGGGTGAAGTCAGTTTCTGGTGTAACTTCATTGATTTCAGTAGTTGATGCTGCTAACCAATTTGTATCCAAATAAGCATGTGATACTCTCTTGACTGTCACCATTTCCCTAATATACTGTCTTACAAATCCCACTTAAGGATGTGGGTATGAATGGTAGCACAGGTTTGGACAGCATGGATTGCTCAAAGCTGTGTCTCATCCTTGAAATGGCCAGCTTCCAGGAAATAAATGGCAAAAGGATATCACTACAAGGTTTGGTTTGCCCTAATGAACATGATTAGTGTTTCTCAATAACACTCCTCAATTAAGGATTCAGTTGAATTCAGTCTTAGCCATTTCTCCACAGGTAGCAGGAGCTTTAAACACGTGTTGTTCAGATGGGAGAAAAATTGGAAGTTCTTCATGGCACCATCTACATTGTGAAGAATTCCTAAGGGAGAAAAAACATCTCAAGATAGTTACTAAAATGGAAATAACTATAGGCAGAGTCTCCAGATGGTTTGTGATAATTTGATGAATTGTATAATAACTAGTCCCACTGCATATTTCTTTAAACACAGGACTGTCAGGTTTGGATGCTAAAGCTAGTGGCCGACTGGGCACAAGAGCCATGGTCTACTACATGTCTACTACTATCATTGCTGCTGTGCTAGGGGTGATTCTGGTTTTAGCCATTCACCCAGGAAATCCCAAACTCAAGAAGCAGCTGGGAGAAGGAAAGAAAAATGATGAAGTATCCAGTTTGGATGCTTTCTTGGATCTCATCCGGAACCTGTTCCCTGAAAATCTAGTCCAAGCATGCTTCCAGCAGGTAAATATTCCTATTCCTCACAACATTCTTTTTAAATGCGAAGACCTTTTTACATTCCAAGATATGTGTTCAGAGTTCTGTCTTTCACCTCGTGAAAGGCATTAAATTACTGATGGGGAGAATACAGGACTATAGTTTTGGGCAGGTAAATTAGGAAGGGAAATAGTTTATAACTATTTTCTTTTACTATGTCGTAATTTTGTTCCTGATTTCAGTTCTTGAGCACTTTTATTTGAATCAATTCTTTGAAAAAGGTCTTTTCAGTTCACTAGTAAGTAATCTTTTAAAATCACCTCATTCTTCATGTACAATATTTAATGCTCTAGAACAGGGGTCAGCATCCTTTCAGAAGTGGTGTGCCGAGTCTTCATTTATTCACTCTAATTTAAGGTTTCACGTGCCAGTAATGCATTTTAATGTTTTTAGAAGGTCTCTTTGTATAAGTCCATAATATATAACTAAACTATTGTTGTATGTAAAGTAAATAAGGTTTTTAAAATGTTTAAGACGCTTCATATAAAATTAAATTAAAATGCAGAGCCCCCCAGTCTGGTGGCCAGGACCCGGGCAGTGTGAGTGCCACTGAAAATCAGCTGGCGGAGGCATGCCATAGGTGGCCTACCCCTGCTCTAGAAAGATGCTGGGTTCTGGATGGTTGACTCATGGAACATTTCACCTCTCAGCTGCTGGTTGAATTTTAATTTAGTCCGGGTGCTAAGTGTTGTCCAATGCCCTCTGTGAAATGTATTGGTGGTTTCAGGCCAGTTCCCAGTGATCAGGTGTCCACATCACAAAACCCACTGTCCCATACCGCAAGTTCATTGTCTGTCTGGAGACCAAGATCTATATGGATAATGGAGACAAATGGCTGAACTGCCTATAGAGGGCTCCACAATGTCAGCTGTAAGGCATCTTGTGGGGGCAGTGGCTGGGAAGGGAGGAGATTTATACTGCTGTTGCCTATTCTGGAGTTAAATACTTCAGTCTCTAATCACTTTTCACCAGCATTAAATTAACACAGTGTTGGTAAGAGATAAAAGAAATGCTTACAAAGAACATATGCTTCCCAGTTCCTCTGTCAGCAGCTTTCTTGTGTGTGAGATGCTTTTTCCTAAAGTTAAATTGTTTGGCAATCATGCAGTCTATTTTTGTTGAACCAAACAAGATTTGTTGCCAAACCCATTATTAGATGTTCCTAAATGGTACTACTTGAAATAGAATGTTAACTGGAGCTGTGGCTACAGGTGGGAGGATTGGGCGAGGAGTAAAGTGAGAACACAGGCGGGGCAGACTTAAGCTGCCAAAAGGACCCAGAGAGCTTTATTTCTTCCCCATACTCTCACATAAAAACACAGAGTCCTTGGCGTTTAAAAAGAGCATGTTCAGAATATTCCCAAATCATCATGGAGATAGAGGTCATGTGGCCAAATCGTGGCTGGCTAAAAACCACAATGTTTTGTTTGAAAATTGAGAAGTGTCCTCATAAAATAAGTGGGGTTCTGTTTTTCCCTCTTTGCTCCTACTTGTATCATAGAGAGGAAGAGAATTCAGCCCTTGATCTGTAGGAAATGGATCAAATATCCATAGGTAGGAACAGGGAATGAGTTGGAAAGAGTGAGGGTGAATTAAGCTGCTAATATCCAACACTTTTTTTTCTTGGACTTGTTCAGTCGGCATAGTGTTAATGGCTAGTGTGCACAGTTCATCTTGCCACCTATGACTCAGCTATCACTCTGACCCTTTTTTAACATTGCCCCATATGGGCCCAGTCCAAAGCCTACCAAAGTCAATGGACAGACTCCCAGTGACTTCAATGGGCTTTGGATGGGGGCTTAAATGAGCTTTTTAGTGTTCCCGTATTTTATCTGAACAAATTCCAAACTAGCCTCCACCAAAGCTTCTGCCATAAAGCCACACCTCTTTTACTATTCAGCTGTAGCCCCTCACATACCAGCTTTTGGAGTTGGCCTCTACCTGTTTTCTCTCTTGGTTACCGGGGAGGTTGGGGTCCTTTCCCCTCCTCACCTAGTTTGGGTGGTGTCAAAAGCTGCTTTCCCTTCCTATGGTTATTGGGAATAGCTTAGTGGCCATTCAACATGTCCTGGTGGCCTTGGATGCAAGAAGTCTTTTTGCAGAGCTCCAGCCAGGTATTTTAGAATGATTTTGTAATGTTAATGGCAGTAGCACTGAATTGTAATGATCCACCAGGGAGAGAGACAGTTTCCCTTGCTGCCAGGTAGATGACAGTAAAGGCTCTCAGGTTGCATGGAAAGTACAGCTTGGTTGTAGAGTTGAATCTGGTTGAGTTTGGGACTTTTGTGAACTTCTTGAATTATTATTTTTTGGGTTTAAAAACAGTTCAATTTGTGAACCTCATTTTCCTGTAATGAAACCCATTATTTCCCTACCCACCCATGCTTAGTTTGTGAGTTTATGTACCTCTAAAAAGCGTTACAACATCTCACTTAAATGTGTGCTCTAGAATGATGACTAACGTCCAGATAAGCATTTTTTACTTTCAAGATGCTTATCTGAACCTGCACCAGTAATTATGGGTCTGATCCTGGGAAGTGCTGGGGACCTTCAGCTTTCATTGACTCCAGTGGGAGTTGTGAGTGCTCAGAATCCCCCTATTTATTTCTGTAGCTCTACACAGATTTGACATTACATCTATCTCACATAAAAATCACAGGACAATAAAATTACCAAGATAAAAATGAAATCAGATAAAAAATGTCCGCTGGCTTCAGGGTTGCTGAAGAGTGTCTCACACGTTGTCAGTGTACTTTTCTAGCTGAATATTTTTATTTTCTATATTTAGAGGAGGCACATTTTTAAACAGGGGTAAAATAAGATGTTAAGGCTTTGAATCTGGGCATCTATATCCCTAATAATTTAATTTCACCGTAACTTATCCAGCTGTTATGTAGCAATGTTTTTTCTGAGTGCTATCATTAATGAGATCCTACTATCTCTACATATAGAAATAGCAGATGCTTTTCCAGGTTGCCGTGGTAAGATGTTTTGGATTATCCACTGTGGTGCTAGCAACAGGTGTGTGGCAGGTTAGATATTTCTTCTGCAGTCCAGCTCTCAGAGTCATTAATTACCATGCCAGGAGGGTCTCTATGTATACTAGTTTTATTTGAACTCTCCTAGATAGGAACTTTGAACCAATCTGGAAAGGAACCAGCCACATGATGGGTGGAGATGTGTTAGAAATATCAGAACATGTTTTTGAACCAAACTACCATGGTACCTTAGATCGGAGGTGCCCCTCTGGGTAAAAGTCTTTGTTGTGTTGCATTGTTGAGGCAGAATTGCTGCTATCACCTGTTCCAAACGTCTGTACGGAATACAGTGCCTGAAGCACTTTTTGATCCTTCTGGATGAAAGGGCCTATATGTAAGATGTTATGTATTGTGACAAAGCTCTGTCCTTGCCTTCATGGGTCCCACATTTCCTGGCGGATTTCGCTAGCCTCAGAGGCTCACTGTGACCCTCCACGTAACCCTTCTTTCTCTAGAGACAAGGGTCACAGTCTACTGAGCCATTTTCATCATAAGCCAGTGAGGGAGGTGAGGAGAAGTTATCCTTCCTTGCACAGTCTCTTGTCTCCCAGTCTCAGTGATTAATCAGGGGGCAAAGGTGGGGGAGGGAGCCCGGGCCCACCCTCTACTCCGGGCTCCAGCCCAGGGACCCTAATAGTATCAGCTATGGTAGCTGACCTTTTAGAAACATGACATGTACAATTCCCTGGGCTACTTCCCTCACAGCAGCCCTCACTTCCTCAAGCTCCACTTCACCCTTACCTCAGGGCCTCCTTCCTTGTGCCTGATATGGTGTGTATTACTCAGCCTCTCCAACAGCACAACTTCCTCCCACAGCTCCTGACATGCACACCTACCTGACTGACTGGGAGGCTTTGAACTAGTTTCAGCCAGCCCCTGATTGGCTTCAGGTGTCCCAATCAACCTAGCCTTCTCTCTGCCTTCTGGAAAGTTCTTAATTGGCCCCAGGTGTCTTAATTGACCTGGAGCAGCTTCCATTTCACTTATCCTGGTACCAGGGATTTGTTTAGCCTGGAGCTAATAGATCTATCTCCGACTACTTTTCTATAGCCATCTGGCCTTGCCCCGTCACAGTATTAACAATTAAGACGAAGGTGTTTGCCATCCTCATTATGCTGCTGTTTTGGAATAGGATCCCAGGACTTAATTAAACTTGGAAGCATTATAAACTAACTTATTTTTGGAAGAGGGGTTAGAGGTGGTGGGTTGCATAGTCTGATCCTCTAAAAACAGCACTGCCTGGGGTTATTTGGAAAGGGGAGTATTATTTTATTCTCTGATCCCCCATATGTATTAAATCCAGTTGTGATTCCATTCTCATCCCATTTTGTAACTTCTTCAGATCCAAACTGTCACTAAGAAAGTGTTGGTGCCTCCACAAACTGAAGAACCAGCTAACGTCACTGACTCTGTCTTTGCTCTGATGAACGAGACGATGACTGAAGCACCACCAGAAGCCCAGTTGGTCATTAAAAAGGGGCTTGAGTTTAAAGATGGAATGAATGTCTTAGGTAAAGAAACTTGTTTCCTATTTGTTTGACTGTATTTTCCACTGAATGCATCCGATTAAGTGAGCTGTAGCTCACGAAAGCTTATGCTCAAATAAATTGGTTAGTCTCTAAGGTGCCACTAGTACTCCTTTTCTTTTTGTTTCCTATTGAAACTTCTATTGATAACATACCAGCTCTTGCTTTTCAGTGACACTCAGTGAGTAGCCGGGTTCGTCTGATCCATTCTGGAGCCCAAATTTGGCCTACGCAGTGCATCCCCAAAAGTGGCTACCACTTGCTGACTGTTTGTTGGCCTAAGTGATACAAATCTGATGGTCTCAGTCCTGTTCCTAGTGCCCATGTGCCCACATCACAGATTCAACCACCACAAGTATCACTAATTCTCAACCATATAGAAAGGCTGAGAAATGATCAAGACATTGTTACTATTAATGTGTTAGGCTCTGTGAATACCCAAAATATCCTATGCACGGGGAAAGCTTGAACAGCTGGTCCCCCGGCTTTAACAGTTTCATGAATTTCAAAGAATTTACAAAGAATTCTTTGAAATGACAAAGAATTTCAGTCTGCTGGGCACCCTTTCTTGGGCACTTTGTTCTAAGTTGTAACTTTAGGGACAGCCCTAAACAAGGAGTCTGGGGGGTTGTAAACTGCACAAGTTGAGGAGAATCCCTTGGACATTGACATGCATCTGAGTCATAATTTCCTCCCAGAGTCACAATTCCCTCCCTGCTTCCTCTTTGTTCACGGGAGAGTAACCTTTAAAAGCACTAAATTACAAACCTCCCCCATGCCATCTCAGCTGTACTGGCCAGCAAATAGAGATGGAGTTAAGTTTCTGCTCATTCCCCACCCATCTCTGCCCGCTTACCTCATCTGTGGGAGAGAAAGAGGGGGCAGACATGCTGCACCTACGTACTCCTATGCACCGAGACACGTGGTCCTATTAGCCACGCCAGGGCTTAAGGAAGGTTCCTGCTCCTGCTTACTCCCCTGTGTATAGTCCAGATAACAACCCAGCCATAAATGTGTGCTGTTTGAACACATATCCACACTTACTATATATGTGTACATATCATTCCAAGCCAGAATGCTACCGGGCTCACTAGACAATAGGGATAATATGAGAGAGACATTAGATTTGGTACTAGGTTTTGGAGGAAATTGTATCCTACTGACAATGCATCCGATGAAGTGAGGTGTAGCTCACGAAAGCTTATGCTCTAATAAATTTGTTAGTCTCTAAGGTGCCACAAGTCCTCCTGTTCTTTTTATTAACAACAAGAGGGACCGAAAGACCAATACATTGCTGAAGCAGAAGAAAATAAATCTACTACCGTTTTATATAGTAATGGTCCAATAACACTAGCTTACATGATACCATTACTACAGTAGTTTGGCCCATGATGACATAATATGTCGGGGGGGTTATAAGAAAAATGAAAATGTAGGGGGATTGGCCTCATAGTTGCATGAGTTAAAGTTGCTGGGCAAATTCGAGCAAACACAAACAAATTTGAGTGCTATGAGTAATGTGACTGCCAGTTTGGCATTAAGTGGACCAAAAAAACCCTACTAACATTTTCTGACCACAGTTGGGATTCCAGGAAATTACTTGGTCAGTGACTATTTAAGAGTTTATCAGCAACACATCCCTCCATGCTCTACAGCACACACAGACATGCATCCTTTATTTCTACTCGTGATACTCAAGTACAACACCCGCATAGTAATGAGTAAGTTTTTTTAGATAGCCAAGTTGGTCATTTCTGACATCTGCAACCACTTTCTTCCTCTGTTTTTGTATCCTAATGGGACTTACTTAGCTTTTTGACAAGGGAAATTCCCAACTGAGCTCACACACTAGGTAAATGCTAAACTCTCATCATGTCTCACAGCTCAATCTCTTGAGGGTTGCTGAGCTTCAGAACTTTTTCTTGATCCCTGCAAATTCCCAGGTAGCAAAGCCTTGCATCAGAGCACACTAATCCTAAACAGCATATATAGATCATCAAATAGTCCCTAGCGTACTCATTCACTCAGTTGATTCTCTGTTTGGTTTTCTAATATCCAAGAGTTTCCTCCATTTTTTTAAAACAGTTACAATTTCCTTTGTTATATTACAATAGGGTCTGCTCCTGCTCCCACTGGATTTAAAGGGAAAACTCCCGATCATTTCGTCTGGAGCAGCATTAGTCCCTTAATATGTATATCTATATTTTAAGACAGGGAAAGATAAAACCCCAATTATTCCTTTTGGTTGAACTAGTGACAAAAATTGTGTGTGTTGAGATATGGGGAAGGGATGCTCCCTTTGAACCTCACTGTATTCTGAGGTTGGCCCCTGTACAAGGTAGAACCGCATCAGGGCTGCTCTAAACTTAGGTAAAGCTGGACATGGCCCCTAGAAGGTATTATGGCAGCCAGAGCTAATCGGAGTCTGGCCACACCCCTTTGCCAGGCCTGTGAGGCCTCTGCAGTCTGTATGGCATACTGAAGCCTATGTTATGAGTGTTCCTTTGGTGGACCGGTCAACCAAAGGAACAGACAAGAGCAGTGTAAAGGGGCCATGCAATGGAGACTCAGTACCCCTACTTTCAAACTGAATCAAATCAAATACTGTAAATTAATTAACTATTATTTTATTTGATTAATCTAGGTGCTATATTATGACATAAGAAAAAACAATCTCTATGCCCTGGAATGTATAGGCTAGTAGAAAATGAAGAATACTTCCTGGTTTTCATTGTGGAAGTTTAGCACAAGATCACATTAACAAGAGATAAAGCATTTCAGCTATGAAATACAGTGCAGTTGGTTGAAGGTTGAATTAACAGGGTGACTTTATTCTGACATAGCTGCAGAGACTCAGACCAAAAAACATACGTCCTAACTGGTGGTTCTCTGTGGTGTGATTCCTCCGACAGGCCTGATAGGGTTCTTCATTGCTTTTGGCGTTGCTATGGGGAAGATGGGAGAGCAGGCCAAAATGATGGTGGATTTCTTCAGCATCCTGAATGAGATTGTAATGAAACTAGTGACTATGATCATGTGGTAAGTCAATATCGTAACTTCTAAGATACAAAAAACACACAAGACAAATCCTGCCACAGACTGGACACATTATATTTTATTGGCAATCCATACAACTCAAGATTTCGGCTCACTGGGTTGGCTCTTTAAACCATGACAAAGACGGCACCACTAGAACCATGACAAAGACGGCACCACTAGAATAACATTGTTTCCTTTTGGGTGTGGGGTGGGGTGATAATTAAGGTACATTTTGAAACATTTCTGAAGATGACAGGCACGCTGTCATTTTCTGCATACAGGGCTCCAAGACATGCAGGCACCAGCTTAAGACCTTTAGCTCTAGTGTAAAAATATCACATTTATTCTAGTGGTTCACTACAGTAAAAAACAAACATCCCTTCAAAACATAACATTAAGCTTCTCCTGTGAGTCTAGCATAATAATAAACCGTAGGCTCAGAGGTATAATTACAGAGGAGCCAAGAGGCATGCTCTATTTCCAGAGTTCTACAGCAAAATTGGCTTGCCCAAAATATGCATTCCACCAAAATGAGATTCCAATGGTTTGCGTCAATATACGAAAGTCTCCTCCCATAGCCTCTGAGTCCACATGCAAAGTTCGCATTCTATAAAATCAGCAGAATAAGAGGCACTGAACTGAGTTGTCTCGCTAGGAAAGTGTGTGGCCTGCCCATTCAAAACAACTTCCCTTCCACGTCCCAGCAACAGAGTGACTCCAGCCAGTTGGGATGGAGGCCTTGTTTACATTTCTTGAGCAGGATTTTTTTCCTTTTGTATCACTTATTTGAGAATTGCCCCAGAGCTATTTACTGTTTATATACAGGTGCCAAGCATGCCTGTGTCATCTACAGATAGCCTTTCAGAACAGAACATGCTCCACAGCATTTGGCATAAAACCTATTGCTTTTGGTACGTTGTGGGTCCTGCACTAATGAACCAGAGCGAGAGAGGAAGCAAAAAGCCCCTTCACTCACCCACTCAGCACAGGACAATGTCATACCTTGGCTAGCAGTGGTGGGGAATGCCAGGAGCGAACACTCTAGGGTTTCTGGCAGCTTTAATTCACATACCACTTTGGGTTAGCATTTGTTTGTGTCAGGATTAGTCCCATGTCCCTTATGTACTGACTGCCAGCCGCTGTGAAGTGCAAGAATAGAACTGGCCACACCATTGCAACATATGCAACAAGACTCCCTGCTCCCCATGACCCCCTGGTGCCCCTGGAAGTTTGACTTCCTTTTAGTCACAGCACTAAAATATGCCTCCCTATGTGGTTTAAATGAATTAAGCCCATTGGGGTGCTATTCATTAGGGCCTGGAATGTAACTGATTTGAGGTTTCAGGTGGAAGGCACTATATAAGAATGATGCTTATCTGTGTGAGACGGTGGATAATGACAGGCTCATTTTCCTACAGTCTATCTATTTTTCAGTCTGGTCCCTCACCACAAATCGACAGTGTAGCTTTAGCGAGGAAAGACATTTTGATTGCAGCATTTATTATAATCTGGTGCTCTCTAATGTATAGACCAGCAATGAATATAATTCTTCAAATTCTCCAAGAAACCGAGTTTACCAATATTCCATTTAAGCAGTACTGGCCAGCACACCCAGGGCAAAACTTATGTTGGTCTAATCAGTAATGTAAAGCTTCTGTTGGTTTCAGGGTTGTAATAACTAGAGCCTTACCAGTAGAACAACATTAGTTTTTCATTGATGAAGTGCACGTTCCTCTGTCCTAGAGGAGGGAGACTGAGCGATACCAGCAGTACCTCTTATTCATCTTGGCCCAGAATTTTTAAAGTTATTGTTGCAGGAGACGAGAATCAGCTTTTTGTGTTCATAAAGATAAAAACTTTCCTCCTTTATACAGAGGTGCCGTCATGCCAGCTATTTAAAATTTCTTTGTGAAGAAAGCTCCAGGCCCTCGAGCAATTCCAGTGATTTGAGACTCTTATGAGCCATAAGAACATAAAATAAAGTTGGGCATCTGGTTGTCTGGGTACCAATACTAAATCCTGACACAGCAATATTTGAGAAATTGGTTACTGTCCATTCAGTAGGCTTTCTGAAAAACAACATCCATAAAAACAACTGGATCTACATCAACTACTGGTGTATCAAGGGGCAATGCAATCCATGGAACAGAGAAGCTAGCCATTCCTGTTTCCTGCCCAGCATAGCTTACCAGAGGGTGACAGCCAGCAGTAAGGGTAACCCATAACATGAATGCACAGTACTGGGTAGTAACTAATTACAAGACATTTATATATAAAGGCCTCATTTGTAGTGTCCCTACTCCAAATTTCTGTTTTTACTTCTCATATATATAATAATGTGGAACACACTATAAAAATGCCTATCTCAGTTTTTCAAAACACTCAGCCTACTACTAATGATGATACTGGTGATAACTGCAATGCCCTAACAGGAGTGTGTTTCTATCTGTGTCACCAAAGTAAAAGGGCCAGAGTTCAACACCAGACTGGAAAACACGGTTATGCTTGGCTATAAGGTGGTGTCATATGTACACATACATACTATACAAATATACACTACAAATATGTACGCCATATCCATATTATTCATATATATTAATTATTTGGGAGTGCCTCTAAGGCTCAATCATCATACTACATTCCTCAGTCATGGTCCCAGGCCTAACATTCCTAGGCCTACCATAAGGGACTAAAAATAATTGGATAATAAAATCTCTATATCAGTCGTACGAGGGAATGTGCAGACTAAAAATGACAGGTGGGGCATGAGTGTATGGATGGTAAAATAAGGTAACCACATAATAGCCCACTGGGTTATCTTTAGTCCATGCATTATGCTTTTCCGGGACAATAGGTAAACATCCTCTTCATAAAAAGAAAAAAAGTGGGAGAATGTAGTTAGAGGAGGCCCTGAAACATAAGTTGTGTATCAGAGACCAGAATGAGGCCTGAGGCCCCAAACTAAAGTTATGGTCAAGACTTTGCTAACATAAAGGAAAGGTAAGCTCTGAGCCAGAGTCAGGCCCTGCTCACAGAAATTGGCAAGAAGGCAGCTGCTAATTGCACATATACACATATCTGGGGAAGCACACAAAGGGAACACACACATACAGCCAACTGTTATCAACATTGATCAGAGCAGAGCACCATACCGGTGACCTCTGACAATTGAACAAAATGTTTTTGAATAACATGTGCCTCAGTTAGGATGCAGTGTTTTTTGTGGCATGCTGTTTTAACCATTTAACAGCCATGGTTATAGTTTGCAATATTTTACATTTTAAGGCTACAGTCTCTGCCCTAGCCTTACAAATTATATTACATGTTTCTTCCCCATTATATTTTTGAAACTCTGTGGGGATTTGCAGGGAGAGGTTAAGGGGGTTCCCTAGCTCGCGGTTTTCTGTCATCTTAGATCACGAGTCCTATAGCGAACAGCTCGCTTACTCACCAGATCAGTGGTCGGAGTCACCAGTGTTGTCAGACATCACCATTGTGGTGCTCTGCTCTGTTCAATGTTGATAACAGTCGGCTGAATGCGTGTGTTCCCTCTGTGTGCTACCCCAGCTCTGTGCAGATAGCTGACACAGCAGATCTCAAGAGAACCCCCAATGACCACAGACTCCAATAAGGTACAAAGGCGCCCAGCCAGGTTTATTGCCAAACGAAACACAGTCTCTAACTCCCTGGATCAGATGTCTACGGTTCTGCTAGTACATATGTGCTTCCTGACAATGGACGCAGCTCAGTCAGTGGCAGGACACTCCAGACATCCACTCAGGGATGCATTCTTTTACACAGGTACAAACAAGTTACGCATCACTCCTGACGTATTGAGGTACAACCCCTCTATGTGTTAGGGTGCTGCCTCTCTCCTGGTACATGATGGTTCGAACAAACAACTCTATCCATTATATTATCCTTTTGACCCTGTCCTTAGGATGGGTCAGCCTGTTCCTCATTGTCTCTGTGGAATGTGTTCGTACCAGAATGTTCTGGTGCCATCCTGGCACACGTTCATTCTTTTAGGACTTTATACCTTATAGATTTGTATATGTGCAATTAGCAGCCACCTTCTTGCCAACTTCTGTGAGCAGGGCCTGCCTCTGGCTCAGAGCTTAACTTTGCTTTATGTTAGCAAAGTCTTGACCATTACATTAGTTGGGGCGTCAGGCCTCATTCCGGGCCTCTGATACAAGGCTTATGTTTCAGGGCCACATCTTACTACAGTGGTGATGCTGTATATCCCTCTACAGGGATTATCCTTGGTGAATCTTATAGAAAAAACAGACTACACAGCAACTGGTGAAATGGTTTGAAATATTACGCCTAAATTTTTAAGTGACTAGTAAAGTAGGGTGTCATTTTTTGGGTGTGACACCTGAGAAAACTGAAAGAGCATGATTTTCAGAAAGCCCTTTGCACCTGCCCTCTGAAACTCAAATCCCTTCAAATCGTCTCAAGTTAGGCACCCATAATCACTAGCCACTTTTGAAAACTTAGACCCCTCCCTATTTTATTCAGGAGGGACATTTTATTGTTTGCTCTTCCTCTAGAAGTGCAGTTTCCTCACAGCAGGAATGTTATAAAAAGAAGCTGAGCAAGATGAATACCACAAACCAGCATTTGCAAACATTCTTTACAATGAAAAATGTCTCCTTGCTTCAAACATGATGAGGATTTTCTTAAATCCCCTTTATTGAATCTTCACAAACGGTGACTGTTTACATGAATGTTTTGGAAAGGCTTTTCAATGTGGACTAAATTCATCCCTGTGCAGTGGAGCCCAGCCGAAACCTATGCAACATTTATGTCCCACTTAAACCTTCCTGACAAGGGTAAAAATGTATGGAAGTGACTTATAAACTTTATACTGATCCCCCTGAGGTGGAGTAAATGTTACCTTGTCTGAACTCACATTCACATGACATGAAGGCATTCCTCATCCACATTATTTGTCATTTATTAGAAGTATAATAAATGAACAACACACTCAATGCACACTCAATCTGTGGAACCCTTTGCCAGAGGATGTTGTAAAGACCCAAACTATAATAGGGTTAAATAAAGAACTAGATAAATTAATGGAAGATAAACCTATCTATGGCTATTAGCTAGGATGGGCAGGGATGGTGTTCTTGTCCATTTCCAGCTTCTGGCAAACAGAGGCTGGGAATGGATGACAGGGGATGGGATCACTTGGTGATTACCCGTTCTGTTCATTCCCTCTGAAGCACCTGGCATTGGCCACTGGCGGAAGACAGGATACTGGGCTAGATGGACCTTTGGTCTGACCCAGTATGGCCAGTCTTATGTTCTTATAAATTATGTAGTACCAAAATGTGTTATTCTCATTTAAAATCAAGGAGCAGAAGAAATACCATGTAACTTAGGTGACCAATCACACACCACAGGTATAGAATCATAGAACATCAGGGTTGGAAGGGACCTCAGGAGGTCATCTAGTCCAACCCCCTGCTCAAAGCAGGACCAATCCCCAATTTTTGCCCCAGATCCCAAATGGCCCCCTTAAGGATTGAACTCACAACCCTGGGTTTAGCAGGCCAATGCTCAAACCACTGAGCTATCCCTCCCCCCATCAAAAGCATATAGTTAATGAACAATCCATAGATTGAAAACTGCTTGTCGAAACCATTCAATGAGCATAAAATAGATTGGCTCACAGCAAAAATGGCTAGATACGTCAGATCATTTATCTTCAACAAATATTTCAAACCTGAACTTGATGAAAAATGCTACATAATAGTTAAGTATTTTAACCAAAATACAGGAACAGCGTTTTTTTTAATATTTAAAAAAAAAAAAAGAGGAATTCATACACCCCCATAAAACTATTTTTTTTTTTTATCAGTGTTTCTATAACCCACTCCACTCCTCATTTTTTTTCAAAAAAAAGCACAACCCTCTTTCTCACACCCAAAAAAAAAAAACACACCCCCCCCCCCCCCCCCCTCCCTTGTGGAAAAGGCTTTTTAAAGTGAATAAAAAGGGGGCATTTTCCATACCAAAACCAGGTTTTCTCACCCTCCACCCCCACCAAATCCCCCCCCCCCCCAAAAAAACCCTAAAAAAATCCCAAAAACAAATTCCCCCCCCCCCCCCCACCCCCATACACACACAAAATACAGTATTCTTCAGTAAAGATCCAAAACACTTGCATGTATAGTACAGTTACTACCTGCTTATGGGATATTACTATAGGGCCAAAGCCTTACTCTGCAAACATACATTGAATTCAATGGTGGTGAGTAAAAAAAAAATTGAGTAGAAATTGAGTAAAAACCTTAGGATTTGGCCCCTAAAGTATTGTAGTATGGCAGGTTCCTCTGTATAGGCTTTACTCATACTATATTAAGAGAGGCATGAAGGACAGCCACTGAACCACCATCATTCAGTAGTTCTGTGTCCTCTTCACATCTCAAAGTGTTCAGTCTAGAAGCCTGGATCTCTCTCCATAGTCCCACATGTTTTTGTGCACAGGTTTTATGGCTGCATGCTGCAAGGATCAGTTCCATCTGTTCTGTTTTTTTTTTCTAGGTACTCTCCTTTCGGCATTGCCTGCCTTATTTGCGGGAAAATCATTGCAATTAAGGACTTAGAAGTGGTTGCCAGGCAACTTGGAATGTACATGGTAACAGTGATCGTGGGCCTTCTCATCCACGGTGGGATCTTCTTGCCTTCACTGTACTTCGTGATAACAAGGAAAAGCCCCTTCACATTCCTTGCTGGCATTTTCCAGGCATGGATCACAGCTCTAGGCACAGCTTCCAGGTACTCCATGTGAACTGCCACCTTATTTATATTTTAGCAGCTCATTAGCTGCCATTTAGACATTATGCAGCTGCTGTTCTGACCTTTACCAGAAAGTTATTTTGTCATTAATACCAATCAGTAAACAGCTTTTGATCACCTTATTTCTATTTGAAAAAAAAAATCTTTACCTCACATTCTCTAGACTTAAAGAGAGGCAGTATGGATAGTTGCATAGAGGCTGGATAGTGGCCCCAGGCTGAATGTCAGGGGACTGGACTTCTGTTCCCTGAGTAGCCCCTGACTCACTGTGCAAACAAGGTAACATCTGTGCTTTAGTTTCCTGCCCTGTAAAATAGGGATAATGTTACTTACCCACCTTGGTTAAGCACTTTAAGATCTGTGGATGAAATGCTATGAGTGTTATTAGTTATTAAATGGAAATGTACAGAGCCATAATTGTCACAGGGCTACATATTTGTCACAGTTCTGGGGTTAACTGCACTTCTGCCCTCCTTTGTGGTGTACTCAAGTATGCCCCTTTACATTGCAGGCCTCCAGAAGCACCTGTCTGTGGGTGGATACCCACATCCCTCTCTCTCCAGACCAGGGATTTAGCCTTGCTGTTCCCCTGCAATTCACGTAGACTATCCCAACAGCTCTGATCTCAGTTTAGCACCTGCAGTTCCGCTGTCTCTCAGGGGCTATGACAGTGTTTACCAATCACTAGCCAGCTTTCACAAAGTAAAGTACATTTATTTTAGGGCAAAAGCATTAGAGAAATATATCCTGAAACAAACAATTTGCATGCAAGCTAAGCTTACCAGGTGTTACCCATCTTCCACACGAAGACCCTGGCAGGTTCCACTGCTTCCCACTCTTCCAGCAGGGCTTTTGCCTCTTGGTTACAGTTTCATGAAAGTTTGAGGATCAAAGTGAGGCTCCCCCAGCCAGTTCAGGCTGACCCTTTGTTCCAAAAGCCCTTACTTTGTCTGCCACACCTTTTGAACTGGGTCTGAACCAGTATGTGCAATTTGCCCCAGAGGTGGTACTTCTCTGGAGCTGTTTATCTGTCCCAGGATCTGCAGTGGTTACCCCGGCTGATTTTAGTTCCCTGGGCTGGCACAGTAACCCTTCTCCTTGGAGCTAGCATACAATCCCCATCTCGTGAAGGTAAATATAGACACACATTTATGAGTAATCCCTTTGCTCATAGCTTATGGCACATCTCAATATACAAATATTTTGAATTTTCCATGTTTTCAAGGTCTCACATTTGTCACAATATTCACATTGCTGCTTCTAAATGAAGTTGCAATGCTAGGTTACAAGTAGGGAACACAAGAGGTAGATGAAGGTCCTGCACTCTCACCAGCAGTTCCACCCATGCCTGCTTCCTCCAGATTGGAATTTAGGAATACCCTGAGTGATGATATTGAATAGCACAAGCCGTTTAGTTAGTCTGAGACCTAGAGAACCAGAGTTTGTCTGTGCATTTTGACCTAAATAAAGTTCTATTTATATTTTTAAGAACTCAGCTCCCAGCTCTTCTCTACCAAAAAGGACACAACAGGTATCCCATGAGCTCTCTGCAAATTAGGACTGGGAACTAAATTTTGCCCAATCAGAAGGAAGGAGATACTCAAAATCTCATTGAAAATTCTATTTTTCTGTGTCTTTTGGCCATGTTTGGCAGGCTAAAGGGCTTTGGATAAGGATCTGAATTGTTTAGTCCTTCATCGAGCACAGATCTGTGAATCAGTAAATGGAAAGGGAGTAGGACACTGGATGACTCAGGAACCGGTAATAAGATATGGTGCTTTTTGCTAGGGATCATTGGTTTTCAATGGAAAATTGGGTTTGACTAAAATAAAGTCTTGTCCCTATTTCCCCAGAGCCAGACTGCATCTCCCATGATGCACCATAGCCGGTGACTTCTATGATGCACTGCAATGGCTCAACAAGACAGGAGATTGTGGTGGATCATGGGAGATATCTGGCCTGGGAGCCATGTGGCACTGAGGCAGCATTTCTGAATCAAAATGTTCAGTTTTCAACCAAAAGTTTTTGGCTGAAAATTGTTGTGTTATGTCCAAAATGTTTTGTTTTATCACCAAAACAATCACAATTTTCCACAGGAAAAAAAATCTGTGTTACAGCCAGATCTCACCCATTGGTTCACATATAACCTGGGTCAGCAGTGATTGAAAGTCTTTAACATCTGACAGCTATTCAGAGCCTGTGTGAAATGATTCAGTAGTTCTCAGTCCAAATTCTTATAGACAAGTGTCCACATCACATCACAGTATTGCAGCTGGCACTCTTGTTTGGGGTCCTCACTGAGAAGCCAAAACTCTTGGACAATCAAACACTTCCTCATACCATGATTAAGATTGTTAGGACAAGATGGGGAATCTTGTACTGCTTCTACCTACCCTGCACTTTCTTCCAGAGATGATAAAAATCACTTCCAGCCCCGGGACAGTCAATCTGGCACCATTCATGAGCACGGAATTCACCTATGCTAAAGAGAGTAAAATTAAGGGGAAAAAGGCTTGCTTGTCCTTCAAATGACAAAGCAACACCTCAGTGTAAATGGCAAAACCAGGAGGAGTCAATTACAGCAGCCCTAAGTAGGCCACTACCATATACACACTTTCATCTCTGCTCCAAGTTGTGAAAAGTGACTCATGGAGGAGAAAATGAAGCTTATTTAACTGAACTTCAATGGTGTGTCAGAGAACTGTTTTTCCCTTTCTAAGGAGTAAGATATGGAAATCCCTTTGTCATGAATCAGCATAGCAGAGCATAGCAGAGTGAAAAAACAGGGAGTACTCCTTTATACATTCAGCCATCTCCGTACATGCAAACAGTCTTATACATGGACTACTAAAGCAGCTCATGGGGGAACATGCCTTACATTTCCCATCTTGAAGTGAGATTATTCTGATTTTTTATATATACTCTAGTTGTGTCACATCACAGAATGAATATTTGATTGGCTGTGGTAAAAAACATTGCATGTTATAACTAAACCACATGGGTGCCGGAACAGAGTTGGCTGAACCTATTTACCAGGTTCATGGATCTCTTTTTAAAAACCCTCAGCAAGTGAGAAGAGCAGGGTGGCATTATAAGCACAGGACCGTGAGCCAGGAATACAAGAACCAAATTGACCTCTGACTCTTACTCCATCTGTGATATTGAAGAAGTCACTTAATCTTTTGGTTTCTCATTTTATCCTTCTGTAAAATGGAGATATCTATATTTTCGTACTTCAGAGAGTCACTGTGGGGACTAAGTACTGAATGTTAAAAACTGAAGTTGCAAGGCAGTATATGCAATATGCAGTAAGGATTTATTGTAGTATATTTTAGTGAATTCAGCCCTTTGTTCTGCTCACTATAAGCAATAGTAAACATTCTTGTCAGACCAAAACTAGTATTGGTACAGTAATCAGGATGACCTTTGAGAAATTTCCATTAGCTCATCTGGGGGTATGCAAATGAGTTGGTACAGACATGTTTCACCTATCTTTATGTTGAGCAACTGCTCTACAGGAATTTCCCCAGAACAGTGTTCATTTTTCAGAGTTGACTCTGGTCAGGATGTAACCAAGTTCATTTAGTGAAGGGTTGGACCAGAGTCAAACACTGAAAATGAAAATTACATCAATATATGTAATTGAATTGGATTCATTAATTTAGAGGCAGACTAAGCTAAGCACACTTAGGCAGCAGAGGAAGGAATCTCAACTCACTAGACAGAAAGAGTGGTTATGGAACTACTCTGCTGAGGGTACTCAGGCCTAATGGGTGAAATAGCCTGCTCTGCCCCCTACAGAGGGGTGGCAGGGTAGATCCACACAAGCACCTGTTCCTCAATGCCAACCTTGCTGTCCCCCAAGCTCTGTGAACGAGGAGTACACAGGCCACTGGTTCCTCTGCAAAGAACACCTCCTCAACTGAAGAGATGCAGAATTTGACTCTTCAATATTGGTTTTAATTCCCATTGCAAAAAACCATTTGGCTCTGTGCTTTGAAAAAAAATCCAAGAAATAATTCATACATTGGGTAGAAAGTCCAGCTAGCCCCTGTGTGACCCAGAATCCGACCTCCAGTTAATACTGAAGTATGTCTTGATTGAAAAAAGGTTTATGGCCACAGGAGGATTGAAAAAAACAAAATTTGGCAAAGGAAGGGAAATATGTAATGTTGCCAGCTTTCTAGGTACTAAAAATCTCGTATTAAGCACTGTGCTTGTCTTTCCTATAGAATTCAGTAACTTCTATTTGGCTGCACGTTCTTTAATGCATGTATTGGACTTGAGAAAGGAAATGGAACAAGACCAGAACTATTGCAATTTTGCTATGACCATCATGCAAGAATATTGTGTACCACGTAACCCTGTCTTTGCTCATTTTTTCAGTGCTGGTACATTACCTGTCACTTTCCGTTGTCTTGAAGAAAACTTGGGCATTGATAAGCGTGTAACAAGATTTGTCCTGCCTGTTGGAGCAACAATTAACATGGATGGGACAGCCCTGTATGAAGCAGTTGCTGCCATCTTCATAGCACAGATGAATGGAATTATGTTGGATGGTGGGCAGATAGTCACTGTGAGGTGGGTTCTATATGTTTCTGCAAACTGGGTCTTTGATTTAGAAGGCTGTATAGTATGAAGATGCAGTGATGGCTTCTGAATGCCTATGGATTCTTATACAGTGAAATGTATGGACTTTGACTTCTCACAGTGGTATTGAATGGATAAGACTGTTAAATAGCTATGGCCTCAATTCATGGATTCTAAGACCAGAATGGACCATTGTGATCCTCTAATCTGACTTCCTGTATTAACACAGGCCATAAGACTTCCCAAAGAGATTCTCCACTGCCTTGCACTGTGTGTATCATTTGTGACTTCTGGGTCAGTAACATTTTAAACTCATTTTACACAGGAGTAAATGACAACATGAGGAGCAAGGCAATGGTCTTGTCTGTCCAACATAATAATAAACTTAATTAAATGTAGCGGGATGCTCCAAGGTAGGTACAGGACATTAATTATTTAGAAAGTCCATCTGAGCACTAATAGAAAAAGACTTTCCCACAAAAAGTATCCATATGCATATGGTTAGCTTGTGTTATTTCCTCTCATTTTGCCAATTAATAATAAAAATAATGGCCTTGGTGCAAGGCATTTTCAGACTGTGAGTGGGCAATGGTGACAAAGAGATGGCTGCTGTGTAATGTATTCTGGCATAGTCCAGACGAGCAGAGGGATTTCTTGGGATCTGCCAGTAGACATGAGAGCAGCCCTTATGCACTTTTAAACTTGTCCTAGGGCCAGTTTGGCTCTGGGCAGCCCCTTTGATTAGGGGGAAGAGGGCCATATATGCCTCCCCAGCCGACATTTACAATGAGTGTTGCTGTGGCACAAATACTGATGTAGCCCTTGAGTTCCTAGAGGCAAGGCTAGGAGTCACAGGGTACTTTACTCATCACTTGACAGCTCCTCCTCCAGGCTGTTCTGGGGATTAGTTCTGCTCAGCTAACACCCCTTTCCAGCAGCTGCACTCCCTCACTCTCTGTCTGCAGCCCTTCTGTTGCTCCAGGAGCTGCTGCTTCCCCTTTGTGATTCAGCCCCCTGGACAGGACACTAAGTGGTTTTCCCTTCTGGGGTATGATACTTTCTAGGTACCTCTAGACAAATAGCATTCAACAATTCTCACATCCACTGCCCTATCCCTGTAACAGTCTGCTAATTCACTATCCCTGGCAATACCACTCTGGCAGGATTAGTTGGTAAGGGAACCCAGGCCTATCCTCTACTCTGGGTTCCAGCCCAGGGCTCTTTACCAAGCAGTCAAGGTCTGCAGCTTCCCTAACGTTACTGCTCTTGCCCTAGGACTACTTCCTACTCTGCTTCCACCCATACTAGTCAAGTCCCTCTCTCCTAGGGTCTACTAGGTCTCAGGGATTCCTCACCCTCTTTCTCTCAAGAAGAGAGACCACCACTCTTCACCCCACAGCCTCCTTTTTGTTGCCAGTCTCTTGGCTTTATGTAAGCCCCATCTGTTCCCTCACAGGTGAGCTAGATTCCAATTAGTGGCTGCCTCCTAGCCTAAATCTCTCTCCTGTCTGCCACTTAATTGGTTAATTGGGTCTGCCTGGCCTAATTCAGTCCTCCCCATCCGGACTACATCAATGCTCACTAAGGGACATTTAGTGTGCTCCAGCAGGGTCCACCCAGGGGAGTTGGAGAGGAAAACACTTGTGTGCTCTTCAGTTCATATCCCCATAGTCCAGACTCTGGCACAGCAATCCAGCAAAATCTCACGTGCAGGTGTAGAACCACTTGGTCATGTTCAAGAGGCACTAGAGAGGTACAAGTCTGGTAGAAGCTGGAACATGTCTGGGTGAGGGGAAGTGGCACTGAAGACAGCTTACCTGCCGGCTGGAGAATAGGTACCCCAACCAGGCAAGTCAAAGAAAAGGAAACTTCAGATAAGTCTAAGGGGGGATGTAAGTAACTACCAACATGGTTTATATTTATCTATTTCTATATTAATAACTTTTGCTAACTGTTCCAAGTGGCAGGGTATCAGATCAGTCCTGTCACAAGAAATGAGTTTGACACCCCTGAGCTACCATTACAGCAAAATAGACTGGAGATTGTAGATCTTAAATTCTACCTCAGTGTGCTTTCGTTAACCCCGAGTACAGTAGATATATCCCTATTATGTCAAATCAGTACATATAGAATTACGTTGAAATATCTGGAAGCTCAAAGGAATACACACATTTAAATTAGGTTAGTATAATTTTGGCATGTTTTACTGTAACCCAATTTAAAGTCATATTTGATCCTGTGACTAAAAAAAGAGAATGGTAAAGTTATGACTGTTGCTGCTGAATTCATTTACAATGGAAAATATGACAGATGCACTAAGCTTGACATTTTGAATCATAATAATTCAAACCACACATGAATGCTGCCAAGTTTGCCTTTTCCTTGTGTCTCTAATCCACCCACCTTCGTCTTAGCTAACCCCTTTTCAGGATAAAGAAGTGCCCGCACTGGAATTTCTAGTGTTGCATTTCTTGCCCAACTATATTAGTAACATATTTTCCAGTTCTTTGTCTCCTGCAGGTTACTTACAATAGTAACATATGGTTTTAAAGGGGTTAGGCTGCTTCTCTCAAAGGCAGATGCTGCAAAGTTGGACCTTGAATAATACAATTTAGTTTTTAGAAATAAGAACATTCTTTTTAGTGGTGAGTTGCTAATAAAATATTTGCTGCCAGAGGAAGTTCTGGAACTTGTTGACCACAAGTCTTGGTGAACCTGAATTATTCCTCCTGCTCCTACTCTAAAGAATTGACTCACTGAGCCTGATTCAGATCTTGCACCATTTGTACACTAGTGCAGTTGACCCCCTGAACTTCCCAGAATGATTCTTGATGTATGTTGGTCTGAGATCTGAATGAGTTTGGCAGAGAGCAACTCTTTCCCCAGTGCAATATGATGGGATGACATTTGTGTTGTGACACTCATACTATGTCCTGATATGACAAAGCAAATGGCTAGAAGGTTGTTCTCTTATATCTGCCAAACCCAACTAGCAATGCTGGGGTTAGGTTCAAATGACCCAAATGCAGGCTCAGGCAGGCTTAGCAATTCTTCTTTTTGCACCTCATATCTGTCCTTTTGGGCATTTCTGCTTTAACCCAACAACCAGACCTGGCAAAGCAACCTACCCCTTGGAGATGATAATCCTGGAAATGGTAGGGGCTCAAATGCTGTGTCCTCACATTAGCACCATGGCTGTAGCCAAGTATTTACCCCATGGAGGCACTTATTCCCCCACCCCTTTATTGGAAGCACTTTAAAATCTTCCTTGGTGAACTCACAGCATCTCAAATTTAGTAGTAAATTGTGTGATCTATTTCAGAAAGACAGAGACTTCTTTTATATTTTTTATTGTTCCTTGGCTGCCTCACTGCCTAATTTATTTTCCATTCTACAAAGGAATGTCCAGTGTCTCTGTAGCCTGATTTTTCAAACTTCCAGCATTTGTAGCATAGACATTCACTGTACTTGACTTTCACATTCTACTAATTGGAGCAAAAGCAGACATGGCTTTGGATTTGCAAAACCTAGTTGGCTGAATGTTGGTTTTGCAAACCAGAACAAGAGAGCTTTGTATCTGGGCTTGGTTTATCACAAGCTCCCAGAGTTTGGAGCACGTGACTGTAGGAGACATAGTCTTTCACCATTTCCTTATTGATAACAACCAATTGCCCCACGCCGTTATCTCACAATACAAACTGCAAGTTCCATAAATTAACATTAATGAACTGCACTGGAAATTCAGCCTGCAGCCCCTATACTGCAGAAATTCCAGTTGGAATGGGGATGTGGATCTGGGCAAAAGCCCTGGATTCAAACATCCCTGAAATGTAGGGAAGAAGGTTGAAAATCAAAACCAGGCTAAAAGTAGGAATGTTGCAAATTGACTTTATCTTTATAGTAGTCTGAACAAAACCCCCAGATCTGAACTTTCTTAAATTGGAGTTGGTGGAGGAACAGAATCCTCCAAACTGTGGCTTGATCTCATCTCTACTAGTTATGCAGCCCTGTATTTTCTGGGAAATGTCAGTGAAAACCAACCTTTTGTTTTGATCAAGTGAGTACACGTTGAAAGTCACACCCTCTTTGTTGTTACCCAATAATGTGTTTATTCTTACAGTCTGACAGCCACCTTAGCAAGTGTTGGAGCTGCCAGTATACCCAGTGCAGGACTGGTCACCATGCTTCTCATCCTCACCGCGGTGGGTCTCCCCACTCAGGACATCAGTCTGCTTGTTGCTGTTGACTGGCTCTTGTAAGTAATAGTGACTCCATGATTCCGAAGAAGTCATCATGTACTTACTTCATGTAACAAATAATGATTTACTCTTCTCTGCTACCTTTCAATCCTGGATCTCAAAGCACTCTACAATATACCTATTGTACAGATGGAGCAAGTGGGGCACAGATAGGTGAAGTGGTTTGATACGGGCCACTTAAGTCAGCATTAGAACAAGAAATAGAACATAAAGGGCAGATCTAAACTGTGGCTGATGTAACTTGCCATAGTTACATTGAAGTCAGTTGACTTCAATGGAGCTATGACAACATATACCAGCTGACATTCTGTCCCTAAGAGGCTTGACTCACAGACTCCTGCCAAAGCCACTACATTCCCTAGAGATACATAACCTTCCAAGCTGTTGTTCCAAACTACAAACACAGTTCAATAACAGTTATTCATCTCTGCTTTTATGTTTCCCTATTATAATTCTTGTCTAAATTGAGGGATGGGTACTGAGTCTGTGGATTACACTGCAATGATGTCTGTCTAGAACAGAAGGATTTTATATGGCATTGGGCATTTGTATTAATAATATAATCTCCAGTTACATTAGCTAGAATGAAAGTGCTTCAGGCAACTGCTTGAGATTAGGAAGAAATCCTCCCACCCTACCCCCATGATAATAGTTGTCTGTTATGCTATAGGAGTCTTACATCTTTCTCTGAAGCATCAGGTACTTATGGAGCTACAGATGAGATGGACCACTGATCGATCCAGCCTAGCAAGTTCTACATTCCTAATAGAATCAGGTTTCTTCATAAAATTCTTCTCAACAAAGACACTGTAGGATGAATGTCCTAAAGGAGCCCACAAACTGAATGAAATGAGAAAGCAGACTGGAAAATGGAAAGATATTCCTGGTCAGTTTTTACCAGGAAATTCTCTAAAATATGACCTTACCTACCTATCAACCTCAGGGTCTTGGGGTTAGAGTCCTTTCAGTGCCATTGCAGATAGTCAGCCAAGAGACATCAACCTGTTCCACCCTTCTCCCAGAGCTTTCTGTCCCTCACCTCTGGGATTTAGAAGCCCCATTAATAATTATAACAATAATAATACACCCAGAGTTAGATCCTTAGGTGCATTTTAGTTTGGAGGTGTAGATATCTTTGTGCCACCTTGCCACAGAGTTCCCAGGGACCAATTCAGCCCATCAACACAACTTAGAGCAGTCCCAGGGCTCCTCTAAGTTGCACTGATTGGTGACAGACCCCTAGAAACCTTTACATCAGCCTGAATTACTGGAGCACAGTTCTCTCCGGTCACTGCCTTTCCTGCTTGAGCACTCCACTATACAGCCTAAGCTATAAGGTTGCAGGCAGTAATGCTGGGAAGAAGTGTAACTCTAGCTATGCAGCTTTATACCACTTACTGATGCAGGCCAGGGGAATCCCCAGTAGCCCAACTGACGCATCTTCAGTGCGTTGTGCCATTGGAGTTATGCAGAAGGGGCTTAGCAGAGCTGAGTATTTGTCTTTGAAACTTTAGTGACATAATATGCTATTTATCCCTTGTTGCCATTGGCCCTTGTTGCCGTATTGGGAAGCATTCAAGGTCTCAATCCACACCGTAATATAGCTCCTTTAGCCATCCTTCTCTGATATATCTGCTAGATCTGAGATGAGGGATTTTCTTCAATTACAGCCAGCGTATCACCCTGTCTGTGACACACCAGTGTCTAAGAACAGTTCACAGCTCCAGTCCCAGTTATAGGGGAAAATGAGGCAGGAATTTACAGCTGGGGCAAGCAAAGGGAAAATATGATTTTAAAAAATATATTGTAATTGTGTGAAATCATAGCTCAGAATGGGGAACCAGGGTGGGGCTCAGCAAGCAGCTGGCGAAGGGAAAAGAGGATATTATGTGGTTTTAAATATATTGGTGAAGTCATGGCTCAAAACAGGAAAGTGGCGTAGGAATTTGCAGCTAGGAGCGGAAGGACAAGCAGAGGTCCATGTTCAGGTTTTAAATATATGTTTTCATTGGAACTCAAAATAGGCCAAGTAGATAGGGTTCTGCTTCTGGTAGGAGGATGCGTAAATACAGCATGTGGTTTGTTTGGGTTCTTAGGGAAATGTCATTTTAAGCCGTACCTACACTAGCGAACCTCAGAGCCGTAATTCATGAGTAGTGCTGCTCCCCTGGTGGGAGCTACAGTGTGGGCAGGGCTCAGACGATTTTACCTCTGTGTCATCTAGCCCTGCTCGGAGGAGGGTTAAACGACAAGGGAGTAGCAATGCCTGTGCCATGAAGCTGTGTTGGTGGTGAATCCCAGTTATAAAGCTTGCTAGTATAGACAAGGCCAGAGTCAGAGAAGGAACCTCTGAAAGGAATGTTACAGGATTGTTTCCAAGTGAAAGACAAGCCTGGAATCTTCTCCCAGACTGGGAGGGCTTTGGGGTTCTTTGGCCTGACAAGCAACAGTGGAATCCATAGTGATAATATCAGAGGCTTATTTCAGAGTAGCAGCCGTGTTAGTCTGTATCCGCAAAAAGAAAAGGAGTACTAGTGGCACCTTAGAGACTAACCAATTTATTTGAGCATAAGCTTTCGTGAGCTACAGCTCACTTCATCGGATGCATTCAGTGGAAAATACAGTGAGGAGATTTATATACACACAGAACATGAAAAAATGGGTGTTATTATACACATTGTAAGGAGAGTGATCACTTAAGATGAGCTATTACCAGCAGGAGAGCGGGGGGGGGGGGGGGGGAGGAGGGGGAAATAAACATGGGGAATTAGTTTTACTTTGTGTAATGACACGGGGAATTAGTTTTACTTTGCGTAATGACACATCCACTCCCAGTCTCTATTCAAGCCTAAGTTAATTGTATCCAGTTTGCAAATTAATTCCAATTCAGCAGGCTTAGTGTCAAGGCTTAAGAGAGAAAAAAAGGAGGCAAGTTCTGTATATCTTGTCATGCTGATAAAGCTAATGAAACATTCAGGGCCTGATTCTGACCTTGCTTATGCTAGTTTTACACCAGTGTAAATCCATTAACTTCTGTTTGAGATCAGAATCAGGCTCTCTATTAACTGACTGAGTGATAGATATAAATACAGGAGATGGATACAGGTACAAACAATCATGATGAGCCTGATATCTGGAACTTGTCTTGGAACTGGATGCAAATCAATACAGTAGAAATCTTTTAAGAATAGCAATTATTCTGGCATTTCAGGTCAAATTAGAAAAAATCTTGCAAAAATGGCTCATCTTGTGAGCTTTTTATTGTTCAAGATGAAAGGAAAGATCACAAAATAACCTGATTTGACAGGATTAGGCTGAAATCTCACAGAAAACAGCTTTCACAATTTCAGAACACTCACATCCAAACCTGAGTTTTGACTGGATCTCAGCCTTAACTCTCCATCCCCTCAAATTGAGGCTTAAGGGGGTTCTGGATCTAGATTAGATCATATCCTCATTGGTCCCTCTCTTTTTACAGAGAGATTGGGTAGAAAGACAGACACACAGAACTTTTTCAGGCAAATTTACCAAGCTTTCACAACTCTCTCAGTTTAAAACTAAACAAAACACAGTGGTGACATTTAATAGGAAAGCATTATATGCCAACATCTGGAATGAATCCAGCATCATTAGCTGTAGCCAAGAGCTGGCTACTTTCCAGCTGTGAGACTGACCAGCTTAGCAAATGCCATACCATGGGCCCAGGTACAGAAGTACTTTGCACTGGGAAAACTGCTCAGATCCAACATCTAAAGCAGACACCTACATTCAGAAACACAACTGGTAAAGTCTGCATGACATCTGAATCTTTTCTGTAGCTTGTGTAACATGGGTCTAAATTCAAAATGCTTAGGCCCACATTCCTTGGAAAAGTTGAGATTTGAATGTTATTGCTTAGGTCTGTCTCTAGAATGTAAACTCAAGTAGAATGAAATATGAAAAACAGACGTAGCTATTCCCCTAAGTGCCAACAAGATGAAGGCAAGTTAAGCATGTCACTTTTTGAGTCATTGGGAGCCTTGAAGAATTTATTTAATCTCCTTTTTAGGATCATTTCTAGGATCTAGAGTATCTAGTCAAGAAAGCTCCTTGGAAGGGACAACGTCTTTTTACATACTAGTATTAATAATAATACCCAAAACCACTTGGTGGACCCGCTTCTCCTCTCACTCATATAGTGGTATAACTTTATTGCCTCCAGTGCTGCTAACTTTGATTTATACTGGAGTGAGTGGAATACAGAGTCAGACCCTATGAGCCTGATCCAACTCTCATAAAAGTCAATGGGAGCTGGATCTGATTCTACAAGAGAAATAACATAAGTATGAGAAATCCTTTCTTCTTCAGATCTCTGGGTTTCATCATTGCTGACTCAGCCATCAACCATGTGTTGATTCTTCTGATCTTGACATTACTAAGTATTTTGGGTAGTTGGAAGAGAGAGAGACTCCTTCAGCACTCCTTGTGTTCCCAAAATATTTGCTGTATCTCAGCAGAAGCCAGGTTGACTCCCTTTCTCAGTCTTCATTTCAGAATTCATGTTTCAGGCTACCTTGAAGTCGATATGCTGCACAAATAATTTACTAGGCCAAATTTTCCTCTAATTTACACTGATGCAACCCTATTGACTTCAGTGGGGTCGTACCACTGTAATCAACATAATTTGGTCTATTGTTTTTAAGAAAAGAATGAATGGAACCTTCTCTCTTTACCCATCCTTCCTCTCTGGATGTAATCATCCTGACTGAAGTCAATGGGAGTCAGTGGGGCCAGGATTTCACACTCCGTGTTTCCGTTAAGTCAATAAAGCCCAGTCTAAAGTGAATAGTTCTGAAACATTGTGCCGTTTGCTTAGTTGAATGTCTTTTCTTGTCTACTAACAGACACAGATAGATTGAGGCATCTCCTCACCTTTTAAATATAAAACATACTGGAACTATATTTGTGGATTCTGGTCTCCACCTCCTGTCTTGGCATTCTGAGCACCCTGGAGCGGCATTAATGAATTCATTCAAGATGTAACACTATTCACTCAAAATTATTCAGGCGTTCTAATGTTTCCATGGAGATCTTATTGCTGAGTACAGTATATTTGATGGGTTTTATTAAAAAATGAACCCTCTGCAAATAATATTTTCCAAGTCTGCCACTTCCACTAGAATTAGGATCATACGTGCATGACATAACTGTGTAAAAACTTTCACTCAAGCAAAGCAAAACTGGAGGGATTTTTCCTTCTATAATGTTTTGTTGTGAGTATTGGCCATAAATGAAAAATGTTTTTCACACTTTGGTACTATTTTGATGAATATTTTGCAAAAAATTTGCTGATATGCTTATGAAATTCCACCATAATTGTCAGATACAATGGCAAAATAATGAAAAACACTTGGGAAATAGATTCAATTGGGTTTTGTAAATGTTTACACTGAATTTTTTTGTCAAAGCGCTAAACAAAAGTTTCACTCATAAGGATATAAAATGATTAGTAGTAGTTAATTGATGTGTAAATCAGATTTAAACTTTTAGCACAGTGCTGAGCGGCAGTACAATGCAAACCTAGTACCAGCAATATTAGAAAGAGCAGGGAAAAAGCAATGTTGTCAAATCAATTACTGTCATGTGGAAAGGAATTCTACCAGCATGGAATTGTACATGCCTGCTTTTCTGTCATTTGATCAAAGTTCATATTGCTCAATCTTCCTGAGTAGACTTGGGTTTTTTGGAAATACACCTCAGCCTTTCTATATTCCCATTTCTGAGTGACTCCCTGATGAAGCAGAAACCAGGACACCACAAGGATTCTTCCCTTGCTTGCTGTGGGTTTGTTAGATTAGAATTAACAGAGTTTTCTGAGGATGCTTCTGTCCAGCTAATATCGGTAGAGGGCTACAGATTTATTAATTATTATTATTATTATGTTTTACATTTTGGACGCTAAAAGAATTTCAAAGCACCTTTCAAGTTAAATAGACATTCACAACACTATACATGGATCACTTCCTCTGCCCCGGAACCACAGCTGCCTCTTGGGGTGAAATGTGACGTTTTAACAGTCCCACAGTGGTGTTGTTACATCAGTGTAAAACGGGTGTAAAGTGGCACCAGACCAGAGTGAAAGCATTTTACATCTACTTGCACTTAATTTACACTGACATAAATGACTACATCAGGTGCAATGGAGCAGCTCTAGTGTCTGCTATAGGCAGGAGGCATGGAATCAGAGCCCTGAAACCTGTTCTCAGACAACCTCCCTTTAAAAACTTGCACCTCAGCAGGGTTCTGGTGTGGGGGAGAATCTATTCCTTCATGGTCAGAATCACCAACAGTGCAAAAAGGATACTGGAGAAAGGTAGGGCCTCCACGGTATGGTCTAATGTCTGCAAGTGCCAACAAATATGTTTCCTTGTAAAGAAGCACGTGGGCCTAATTTGGCATCAACTTGCAACCCGGAGGCTCTTATTACTGAAGAAGTGTCACTGGTTTATCATTTCACAGGTTATGACCTATATTTTGTTGGCACATACACCCGATCAATACTGGCAGTACAGTATGAATGGGCACAGTGCCACTGTAACAGCTGGCCATGTGTCTGTATGGTGCGAAGTGACCAGAATCCAATAGGAGCATTGAAGGTTTGAGTCCCATAGTGAGATTTCACATCATCTTCCCATAGCTTCCTGAGTTTGAATAAAGGGGAGAGGCTATTTATTTATACCACCCGAGAGCTGGAATACATCACTAAATCTAAAAATCATTTCCCCTGGTTGTGTAAAGAGAATTCGTGACCCTGATGAATTCAGGTTAATTTACTGACAGTGAGGTGGGAAGGGCATATCGATATGAAATCTCCAACCCAAGAAGCAGGCACTTTACAGATCTCAGCAAAATACAAAATACAGTTTGGTGTTTCTTTGGACAATCACTCTGCCACATCAGGGAACCAGATCTGTGACTGTGGACATCTGTGCCATGGAAGTTTGTATATAGTTTCTGTTTGAATAGTCCCCTGGGAAGGCAATTCTTTTCAACTTCTCTTGAAAGCTAAAATCCTTTCCACTCTAAACATCCCATAAACGTTCTGTAGAGGATAAATGACAGCAGCAGCAGCACCTGCAAAATTAGGCACTCCTTTCATCCTGAACTTTCCGCTTTCCCTAATAGTGAACTCCAGACTGATTTATCATTAACTATCAAACCTGTCTGTCTCTCCTTCTGCAGAGACCGGATGAGAACATCAGTAAATGTTGTAGGAGATTCTTTCGGTGCTGGCATTGTGTATCACCTCTCCAAGGCAGAGCTGGAAAACCTGGATTCCCAGCATAAGGGGCATGAAGACATTGAAATGACCAAGACTCAATCAATTTATGATGACATGAAAAATCATAGGGAAAACAACTCAAACCAATGTGTTTATGCAGCTCACAACTCTGTCATAGTAGATGAATGCAAGGTACCTTTCACATTTATGGATATTGAGACTTGTATATAGCTGTGCATGCTGTGTTTTACTTCATTTTTTAACCTGCATGTATTTTTTTTTATTGTTTCACAAATGTGACAGTCTCTGTGAATCTCAGACATTAAGTAAGTTTAAAAAGTTACAAAGATTTTTTGCACTCTTCTTAAACATGGTATTTGAGGTGAAAAATCATATACAATGTTTACATATCAAAAACTAAGGGATTATGCAGCGTATTATGGAATATTCCAAGACAGACAGAATATGGCTATCTACTTAGTTTCCTTTGTTAACAGAGAGTTTATTGCTGCTCAAATGAAGGCTAGCTGCAAACCAAGTGCAAGTATTGTTATTTGATGGCAGTCTTCCATGATACGCCATAAAGAGACACACGTGTTAAATGCACCATATCAGCTGATTGCTCCAGCACTCATACAGCACATGTATGCTTTTCTTTCATCATCATTCTTGGTAGTCATTGTAAAAATACAAACTTTGCAATTTCTATCTAATCTTCACTGTAACTAACCTGGATTTTAAAAAGAAAAAAATGTCTTGATTAGAGTGAAGCGAACTTCAGAAACCCCACCAGTTGAATGAAAAGCTAGGTTGAGTGATTTGTGTATAAAGGTTTACAAGGCAACCAGGACTCAGACAGGCCTGATTAAAGTCAAAGGACAATATTTAATTGAAAAGGGAAAAATTCAAAACCAAATTAAAACTTTTCATGTTATGGCCAATTTTTTCTTTAGCTGCTTCTCCTGCTCCTCCCACCTGATTGTATATCAAGTGACCTGTTCCATATTTTATCAAAACATGTCTAGATTGGCTAGTGAGTCAACCACATCCAGATATTTGTCTACAGAAAGAAAGAGAAAGCTTGTGGTTTCTCTGGCACCTTTAAGTCTCCACAACAGATTTAGAATATGGACATGAGTCCCATCTCTACTAATCCAATTGCTAAATTATCCTAGACAATGGAGATGGAAAAGATTTATGATGTCATTGTCCCCACCCCTAAGCCAAAGACCATTCTTCACAGTACATTTTTTCAGAGGTTTGCCCTATCCAGGGTCAAATGATTTGTTTGAAAAATTTTTGAATTAACCAAAGCTTTCATTTTGTTCAACTTTTTTTTCATGGAATTTTTCAGGTTTTTTTTTTTTTGATGAAGTTAAGATGAATGAAACTTTTCATTTTGAATGAAAAAATCATTTTGTTTTGGTTTTCAATTTTGGGGGATATTTCCCCCCTCTCTCTTCTCTTCCCTTTCATTCTACTGGAAAATCAAGAAGAAATGGGGGAAGTAGGGTGCAGGGAAAGAAATAAAAATTTGAAAATTGAAACAAAATGAACTTTTTATACAATTTTTTGTGTTTTTCTTTTGAAAGGAAAAGAAATTGTCTGGCAATATCCATTTCTTTTAAAAAGACATTTTTCATGAAAAAAATTGATTTTTTTTTTTTACCAGTTCCAGACCGGATTGATGGGATTTTTATCACTTCCTTTGAAAAACCATTTCACAGTCTGATAAAACTGTTCCTCTTCCTAAAGAAATGGAAAGAACCAATTACCTTTGATGTTAGAATCAGTCCTGGGTTTTTTGGCCTGACAATTACTGGCTGATTCTATTGGATTTAGTGCTACTAGGAAGCACCTGAAGTCGGGTGACCAGATGTCCCGATTTTATAGGGACAGTCGCAGTATTTGGGATTTTTTTCTTATATAGGCTCCTATTACCCCCCATCCTGATTTTTCACACTTGCTGTCTGGTCACCCTAACCTGAAGATACACTCTGGGCTTGATTTTAAAAGGAGTTCAGAACTTGTAGCACTTTTCAGGACCAGTCCCTCTTTCATTTAAAAGATACCAACAAGCCATAAATTACTGGCTGTGTTACAATCGCCAAAATTGTCCCAAACACAGTGGGATTTTGAGGTTTAGGTCATCACTTGCAGATGATGCTCTGGTGACACTGCTACCAGGAACTTTTTAAGGTGGGATTTTTGTTGGACAGATCCACAGAGAAACTGGATTGAGCTACAAAGGTTCCTCATTACAGGAACTCTCAGAACCCAGGGAAACAGAACTTCCCTAATTTTGTCTTTCATAATGGTGACGTTTGCTCCTTCCCCCTTCTTGCACTCTACCAGTGCTGAGCTAGCCAGGTTTTTCCCTCAGCTAATTTTCACCCCCGCCCCCAAGTCTTTTTTAAGAACCTCAAAAGGGAGTGATGGATGCACTAGTCCATCCCCTCGTTATTTTGTTCACCAGTTTGCTCTAATTTCAAACACACCAATTTTGGTTCATTGTTTTCCAGTCCCACACTGTTCTTGTTTACCAGACATGAATTTAACACAATTCTTGAATTATATCAGCAGGCCTTTTTTGTTTGGATACCACTGACTCTTAAGCTAGCAAAATTTGACACTTGTCATTGTTTTAGGCTTGCTCTTCATTAGGACCCTAATTAGTACATTCAGGTGTATGAGAGGAACCTTGACCTTGTAGAGTAAACACAGGACTGGCCTTGGGCAAATACTTGTCTGGCTCAGTGTCCTCACCTGCCAAATGGGGATAATAATACTTACCTACCTCACAGGGGTGTTGTGAGGATTAGCTGATATTTGGAAAGCACTTTGAACATGTAAAGTGCTCTACAACTGCCAAATATTTTGGTGGTGATGATGATGATGTAGTGTTACCATATCAGGCTCCAAATACCAAGGTCTTGAGCTTGAAGAGAGATTTCCTTATCCTGCAGAATTCACTGAAGGGGACAAAAGTTTGCTGCAACTCTGATCAAAGTTTTGAAAAGCTAATATATTAACATGACATCTCTATTTACTTCCTTTAATATACTCCAGATAATTCAAGTAGTTTATAGTCTTGTGCAGCCACTGTATATTTATAATAAGTAGCCTATTTTTTTATGTTGGAGTATAGTGGCTCTTATTACATGATATTTCTCTATTTTTATGATCACATTTCACATAACTTTTTGTGGTTTCAGTTCCAAATATGCTGTTTATTCTTGTAACTGCATGTGTTTCCCTTCCAATTATCTGTGAAAAAGGTTGGCTTTGTTTTAAACATTGGTGCATTTTTGTAATGTTTCCCTGTCCCAATGCTTCCATACCGTATGGTTTACCCATCATTTGGAATATCAGTCCTGTCTTTAAGTTTTCATATGAAGCTGAGGACAGTAACTTGGAAGGTAAGCTAGGAAAGAATAGGCCATCCATTTAGAATTAGACCAAAGGTTCACATACTATGTAAAGGTCCAGTTAATTTTTCCTCAGTCAAACAAAATAGTTTAGCTAGAGCCCCACACATCTCCTGTTAAGGATTTCACATGGCTATTTTTATATTGACTGTTGGCGACCAACATTTCCCATGAACTGATAAACCAATATTGGTCTTCCAGTATACTTATCAAATTAATATTGAAGCATGAACCTTGAAATGCTACAATGATCTTTTTGTAGTTCTGTGTATAAAATATAGTATTAATAAGAATTGTTTGGCCTGATTGTAACTGAACCTTTCACATGCATGAGTAGAAATAGTGGCACAATGAAAGATGCTTTACAACATGTCTGTGGAGCAACTATTCTGCTATTTTCTTTGAAGTTTTTGTAATGTGTGTGTATATATGTATCCACATTTCTCTATCATTCTGTCCCTTTCACATTCCTCAATGTCCTCAAGTAGATGTCCTGAAATGCAGACGAGTTCTATAGGAAAATTTTTTAGTTCAAGTTAAACTCTTCTTGCAAATTAGGAAAAATCTGAAAGTGACAGGACTGTCTATATGTGCAAAATATTTATGAAAACTATACGACTTCAAACAGTGAAGGGAAAATAAAATCCAAAAAATATGGCTCATTGTTCACTAATGTTTTCTAGCCAATATTAAAATTACCGTCCTCCCCCCCCCACACCTCTCCACACTTTGGGGACACTGTGAATTATGAATAAATAAATATAAAATACATATATATTCACACATGGAGTATGTTATTCCTATAAATATCATGCTTCTCCATATAACTCATAACTTATCTTGTCAAAGTGCCTTGGCCTTTAAGTTAGATGTCAATGATAATTACTTGCAGGTGACACTGGCAACCAATGGCAAATCTGCAGACTTCAATGTTGTTGAGGAAGAGCCTTGGAAACCTGAAAATTAAGGAAAGCGAGTCCCATCTCCATCATTAATAAATCCCTGAAGCTATCTTATGGTAAAAGATATCAAGATTAAAGAATATTTCTCTATTTATTTAACATCTAAAGTTTCTGCTTATTTAATTTAACTGAAACTTAGCAATGATCTCATCAAGTCATTGTAGCTACCGTGTTTTTGCCAAACAGTGATCCATAACTATCTGTCTCACTTTTACTGTTTGAATGGATGCAGCTGGAGAACACTCTGAGTTAAGAGATATATTCTCACCAGCCTCTCCCTTTTGCTCAAAATGCAGAAAATGTAGATGATGCAAAATGGAAAGATCAAAAAGCTGGCATGGCTTTCTCCAGGGACTCAGGGTAATGAACATATAGTATCATATAAACCTTAAATTGTTCTCAGTGTCTCTTCTTGTGATGTATGTACAAATCCGTACTGCAGTGTACCTTTTGGTACAGTCAACATTGTGTAACTACACTATTTATTGTAAGTGTCTCTAAAGGTTTTCTATAAGTTTTATTGATAATTAGCAGCTGGCATGGGGGGGACTCAGAATTTTTATCTTCACCAGGTATGCTTTAAATTAAGTTTCTCAAATAAATATTTCATTTAGATTTTGGGGGCAAAATTCATCCCAGGCATAACTTCATTAAAATCAGTGGAGTAAATACAAAGGGCCAGATTTTGGGCCTCTCTCAGATAGCGCCAGATTCTGATGCTCTCTTCACATCAAATAGGACCTTACAGCCCATGTAGTCCCACTGAAACTATTCAAGGAGAATGGTGTTATTTAACTTAAGGAAGAGCACCAGAATCTGTCCCCAAATGGTTATTGAACATTCTTTTTCAATATCGAGCAATTATATCTAATAGCGTGTTAAAATGTAATGGTGCTTAGCATGCGTCGGTTTATTAACTACGCTAAACTAAATGTATATTTAGGACACTTAATTTGAAGTGATAACTATTTTTTCTTCTCAAGTACGTCTTAGATTTGAGCCAATGAACTAAATCTTGAAGTCATTACCTGGTCAAATTTTGCATTGAAGTCAATGGGAATTTTGCCAGAGTTAGGACTGAGTGAAAAGTAAACCAGGACTTCAGGATTCAGTCCAATAAATTGAATCCCCATCTCTCTATTGTGAAGCAACAATTTGTATAAATGTCTTTGATGTCAGACAAGCAGTGATTCTAGTCCACATGGCATATGAATGAACAAGGCAGAGTTTTGTTGACACGGTATAACTAACTCATTCATCTGTAAGATGTAGAGGTGCAATAATCATTCTCTTAGGTTGTTTAAAAGGTGCTTGTTAAAAATCAGTGCTTGTAAAGACATAGGTGAACTCTATGATGAAATTAATAATGTTTTACAGCAAAGCTGAGCCAGGTAGCTGTGGGAAACCCTGCCCACTGAACAAACCTTCTGTGATGTGAGTGTTTCTTAAAATGTTCTCTGAGCTGTCCAGCCTATGAGCTTATAATGAACCTACCTACAAGGTGAGATGGGAAATGACGCACATGTGCTTCTCTCTGTCCATGCACAGTGCAATGCTACCATGGACGTAAACAGGAACAACATGTGTGAATGTAGAGTTTAAACAATAATTCAGTCTGGTTTTGCTAATTTGTATTCGTGTTAGCTATTCCACTGAAGTCACTATGGGCCCCTGCCCTGCTTGTAAGGACTACTCACCTGTTTAATGGTTTGCAGAATCAAACCTATAGTCAACAAATTCACCATTCAAATATTTGTAGCTGTGCAGTATTTTCCTTGGGAATATTAGTGTTCTTTTGACATCCCCTTGCTGCCTCACTAAATGAAAAGTCCTAACGAATTTAATAGCTATTAAATTACTGTGAGTTCTATGGACATTATTCTGACAACCTAAAGAATTTAATAGAGAATTTAGTCCTTTTCTGTAGGTCTTTTGTACCATTCTATGGAATTCTGTTCCATCTTGTTCAACATATTTAATGGAAATTGTGGGTACGCAGAACTCAGGATCAGGGACCTAGTCTGGATTTGAGGAAGAGTTCACTTCCCTGATCCCCACAGAAAGGGATCAGTTGCCCAAGAGAAGCTCTAACACTCTCTAAAATGAACTCTATTTAACATTTGGGCTGTTGGCTCATCTCATAAGTCACTGAGAGCTAAGTAGCAATTGTATAGGGTGACCATATTTCCAAAAGACAAAACAGGACACCCCCAGCTGCTCACCTGAAGCCCCTTCCCCCTCCCCGCCATGTAAGGCTGTTCCCCATCATTGGTGCCCTCCGGGGGCCCCCTCAGGAAGCTGTTTGCTGGAACCCTGTGAGGAGGAGGGCTCACTCAGAAGGCTATTGCCCATGCTGGAACCTTGGTGCCCCCCCCCCATGCTGGAATGTTGTCTTCCCCCCCAGCTCTGCCTTCCCGCCACAACCGGGGACTGGCATCTCTGCTCACCCTCTCTGCACCACACCCTGCTTTTTTTTTTCTGGACAAAAACGGGCATTTGTCCCATTTGCTTGTGCCAACTGATAAAGTCATCAAGAGCAAACAGGATAAATGCCTCCTTTAAAAAAGTTAGGACAGCCAAGAGCTTAAAGGGCTTAAAAAAGGGCCTGTCCCAGCCAAAACGGGACATATGATCACCCTGCAATTGTACCAGACTAGAACATAGTGTTTGTTGTAGTGTTGAGCTTGGGTTCTCAAAGACTTTCATAGCCTGGCCCATATTTTAGAGAGGTGATCTCCTAAACCACTTCCACCCTATTCATAATAATCTAACTTCCCTGTGGCAGCTACACCAACTGCTTACAGAGAAAGGTAACATTAGGAAAGTGTTTAGTCTATTTTTAGCTGTCTTTTAAAGCAATATGATAGCTGAAAACAGGTAGGAGAACCAACACCATGTGACTAAGCCGCTCCACACAGTTACCTATTGAGAAACAGGGGTTCAGACATCCTTCCTTACACCTATGGAGTATCTGGCTTTGGCCAGATTTCCCTTTAAAAAGTGATTCTTCAGATGGGACTAGAGGAGGAGGAGGTGAAAATCTAGAGTAACTCTACCCACGTACAGAGAGCAAATTTGGGGCTTTAGTTTTGACTAAAAAAGCAGACTGTAGGACTTAAGACTTTATAGTTTGTTAGTTGCAGTAACTCAGGGAACTTTCAAAAGATAATTATCATGTTATTCTTCTACTTAGAAATGTGCTGCTTATGGGAAACAATTTGGCTATCTGCCAGGCTGAATTCTCCCATGTAATATTTAACATGTAGCTACTCTGGCACAGTACTGAATTTAACCATCAAAAAGCTTTCTTGGGGGGAAATGTAACTCATACTTGGCTTGTAGTTGGTAATTTGTTCATTCCACATGAGGCTGGGTTGCTGCGTAACTAAACAAACAAGGCAAAAACCCAGGAAATGGCCACTCGAGCTAATGCAAGTTTCACATTTGAGTGGATAATGCTTGTCACTGTCAAACCTTCCTTTAGTCTCATTATTTTGCATGTGGCCTTCAGAATGTTTTCTTCCTTTACTCATTTCCTCATTGTTTGGATGGCAAAACTCAAGGATGTGCACAGAATAAAGCAGCACATGCTGGGAGTTATTTCCATATGAACTGAAGTTCCCTTCTACAGTCATTTGCTTTGCTCTGCTCTTAGCTATTGCTCTGCTGCTTACAGAAGTAGGATATATATGTGCCCTCTAGAACACTGACATCATCAGTGGAACATGGGAAGCCTGGATACTGGTAAGCATCCTTAGGTTAAAATTTAGCAGCACGTGCTTTTCTGAATAGGACTGTATTTAAGCACCTGCTTGAGAACTTTGCTGAATGAGGGCCATGACTCTGTTAGGGTTTGTTCTGGTGCTAGTCTTCAAGGCCCAGTGCACATTATAGTTAACTTGGGGAAACAGTTTGCTTCTGAATGTGTTCCTTCTTCTGTACTCCTCCTCCAGAAAAACAAAGACTTCACCAGCACTTTGTATAAAACAAGTTTACACAGGTCTCATGCATTAAGATGCCCCTATATTTATGCCAATTAGACAGTATTACAGTAACGGGGGCCCCTGTCATTTAGAACGGAGAGACTATTTTTGTTTCTTTGAAAACAGCCTGCAAGTTGCGGACCACTCTGAATTCCCTTTGGGAGTTGAGAATGTATGCTTCCTTCCAGAAGCACTTAGCACCTGGCAGCCTGTACAGAGCCTGATCAACCCAACTATATACATTAAAAACTCCTGTTAATTTTAAGATGGAGAAGGATTGTTATTTTTCACCCTGCACCATTCCAGAGAAGTTGCTATTAATACATTGTCTGTTCTTAGTGCTAGCTGGAGACTTTAGCCCTGGTCCTGCATTGTTGGAAAGCAGGTGGGGTTTCATCACTGATTTCAGTGGGAGCAGGATCAGAGCCTGTATTTCATGTTGAGGCCCATGCTGTCTTATTTGAAATGGTCTGTTTTCAGTTTCTGTACATATAGCAATCTCAGTCATATATAATTATAAATACACCATCTTTCCTCCACTTGCCAAGACCAAAATATGGGCCACAACATCAGAGACAGAAGAAAATCAATGAATGCGGTAAGCTAAAATAATGAGGGATTAATTTGTTCATAAATAGGGCTATTGTGGGAGCTTGTTTTGGCAATGCTGGCAGGTAAGCAACAAACAATAATATGGATTCTGATTAAACTGATTGAATGGTCTGTGTTGTCACCTTTTGAAAGCTTTTTAAACTCTTGCACTATAGAAGAATCTAAGAAGGGTCAAGGCCCAACAGTGGACCCTCCCACCTCCTTCAGCCAATGGAAACAGACTGTGCAATTCCTTCCGTCTGATCCCAGTGAATTATCTTTTCTTGGTTCTCTAGCTGACGATGCCTCCCCCATCCAAAAGGTCTCTGCCAATAAAGGGAAATAATTTCCCATCCCAGCAGTGAGTTTAAACCTCTGCATCTGAATTCAGACCACTCTCATTAAGCTTCTTCTCTGTTTATACCCCGACATATAGCTAGTGTCCATTTTTGTCTAGAATCCTAGTAAGTGGACTCTGCCAACACCTCTGGGAACACAGAATTCCAAACATTACGGGTTTTTAAA